GTGTACATGGAAGTTAACTGTACTAATCTTTCTACCTTTGTATGCGTGGAAATCTCAAAAAAAAATTTTTAAAAACAAGAAATAAACACTGTTTGAAATTCTGCACAATATCTCATCTCATACAACAGATACCTTGGATGGTATAATAATAGTCACCTGGATTTTTAAGAACTTTTGGTCTTATAAGGTGTAAATAACATAATTAGAGTATCTGAGAAAAGGACATTTCTTATGCTTAATCTGATCTCATTGTTGTCTTTGCCTCAATTTGAGAATAGAAACTACTTTACTGGCTGAATAAGTAACTGTCCTGAAATACTCTTAATTACTGATGTCTAGAAACATAATTCTGCCTTCTAAAAACAAATAAAATCAAATTTATATCCCTATATTTCTTTTATTGTCATTCATTGTAACATACAAGCCTTAATTATGTCAGGGCAGTTGAGTAACAAGACTGCTGTTGAACTAAAATGTCAGACTAACTAATCCTCAAGTCCTTTTTCCCCTATAACTAATTTTTTGGAGTTTTTTGGTAGGAGGGGGTAAATTTGGCAATTTTAGATATCACTTAAGTTTTGTGCCTAGTGAGATATACAGTCAAACAATACTTAAAACCCATTTAAATAACTTCAATGTGCAATGTGAAAAAACCACCATGAACATTATAAACTATTTTTGTAGAAATCACTGTATGGGGACATTAGCAGTTAGAGCAATGTTACAATATAGACTGGAATCATACGTTAACATGGGAAAATATTTTTGAAGTCTTTGTAAATGATGTTTGGAGTGAGAGCTATGCGTTCCCCCACACTTTCAATACATGTGAAGGATGAATGCTAAATTTCAGAAGACAAAATTTACTTTATTTTGCTCCCAAGCTTGATAGTTCTTACCATTGTTTTTATTCCACTTTTTCTTTCCTGGTTTCTACTGTTTCTCTAGCTTTCCTGCAACCTGTAACTGCACCGGAGTAGAAATGTAAGACGCAGGGAACTATGATTTAAGCAGAGGAGTGCTGAGAGAGATTCCTAATTCCTAAAATTAGGTTTCCATATACAAGCATATACCATACATTTTAGATACTCACTTCAAACAGCATCAGGGTGCTGGGAACCCGCACTGTGAAATTGCACCTGAACGGGTGTGCGGACCACTCAGAGGCAGCTAGGCTCCAAACCTCTAGGCTAGCCTTGGGGACTGCAACCTGTAGGGTCCGCAGAATTGCTCCCTCGTCTGCAGGTTCCCTTACCTCCACTCCATTCCAAGTGTCAGCTGGTTCTTCTCCCCCATGCAGCCACCTGTTCCTCGCGGTCCCTTGCCCCAGGCCTGTGCAACTAAATTCTTTGGGCACATGACGACCCTTCACACCATCAGGACTCAGTGCGCTGCACGAAGGGGAGCGCGGCTCAAGTTTCCAGAGAGGGATTCTGGCAGCCCCATGCTGGGAAGGGGGTGGGCTGTGCCGTGCTGTGTAGGGTGGCGCTGGGAGATACCGATCTCCACAGCCCCTGGGGGGTTGTTGGAAACCTGCAGCCCAGAGGGCTTCGAATTCACTTACGCTTAAGGATAGAGCTTTGGAGGGGTGGGGGAGTGTGAGAAGGAACGTAATCATTAAGAGAAGAAGGGACTCAGGAAGCTGATAACTCCTCACTGGCCATCTTGGGTTAAGGGGAGTCTTCAAGGGGGCGTGTGAATCGCCACGAGCCTCGCTCGCGCCAGACCTTCCCACCGCCCAGCGGAGCCACTCCCTGCAGAAGGGCTGAGCCGCGCACACCATTTCTCTTGGGCGGGGGTGGGGATGGGGGGTTAGGGTGGGGTTGGGGGAGGTGGAAACCGCATTTCCTGGCGTTCAGATACGGGTCCAGAGGCAGGAGGAAGTTTGTGGGACCCCAGCCACCTTCACACACCCGCGAAGGTCTCGGGCGACCCTGGGATTATCGACTCAGAAACCAGACCGGGCCTGGCGCCACCGTCTAAAGTCCTCTTGCGCGTTTTCTAATTTTTCTAAATAGCATTTTTTTTTTTTTTTTGGTCTGTAAAGTGGGGGTTCTATATGTCTTCTTAATTGGGTGCTAGAAAGATTTAAGGGGGAAATCCAGTTCCTGGCAGGCAGAGAGCAATAAATAAAGGTTAGACGCTATTACTTATTGGTGTTATTGGAGGCCAGGAGCAGAGTGACACTCTGCTGGCCTCTGTGCCTCCCAGGCCCTTGCACACAGCTCCTGTTTTCTGGCTCGACTCGAGCCTCCCTCCCCACACCCCTTAACCCCTGCTCTGGCAACTCCAGGTGCAGATGAGTTTGACTTGAGAAGGGGAACCCTAGGACAGACGATGAGCCCCCAACCCTCAATCCCTTCTCGAACTCAGAAGAGACTTGCCCTTAGCGCGGGAGTTTAAAACCAACCGATGGGTGTTTTTGTCCAACGCCGCGGGTCAGTGCCAGGCACTGGGCAGTAAAGCCGGAATGCCCCTGAGCGGAACCACTGGAACCGGTCCCACTTCCATAGCTGCGATCGATCTTGAACCACAGCTCAAATAGGGGTTGCAAATGCTCCCGGTTGTTGGTGGGTATTTAAGTAACAGGAGCCTCAGGCGCGCGGCAGTTCGGCGAGTCAGATCGGGCACCTCGCGCCTACCCATCCGAAAGCAGGACTTGTCCACACTGTCTGGCTCTTCGGAACAGGTGAACCCGACGCGCCAGGTTCGACAGACCAACTTTATTCTTCTACTGAAAAGGTGTTTCTTTTGAAAATTTTTCACTGGACATGTCACTCGGTAAAAATTAGCAACTTCAGTGCTGGCTTGAGCGGATTCTTGTACTCAGTCACCCAGGCTGGTGACAATAGGGGCAAAGGCAGGAAGAAAAGCTGGCGTCTACTGAGGCTCAAGAGAGCCTCAAAGGGACGGAGGCTTCTGTGCCGCCTGTTCAGATGAACTTGTGAGCTGAATGAAGGAATACAGACCTGCAGACTTTTTCGCCCAAAGGAGAGTTGGAAAGTAAAAAAGTTCTTGGCGTGCAGTAGGCTCTTTTTATCCTCAGCTTGTTTCTAAACTTTGTTGGTTGTTTCAGACCTGCAGAATTTGCTAAAAGGACCTTAAAGTTTGGATGCTGAGAGTGAGAAGCAGAGATCACAATTGGCCAAAATCTAAGGAGATGGATGAAGGGTAAGTGGGGCTTTTAGGGTCGCCAGCTGCTTGAGGATAGGGGCCTATATGGATTACCTTGGCAGTCACTCTGCCCAGACCAAAGGCTGCATATAGAATCTTAAGCTTGCATAGCCCCAGCTCTAAAGGATTGGCCTTGGGAACTTCCCGGAACATACCTGGAACCACTTTACAACCAGCCAGGAGCCAGTGTGAATCACAGGCAGGACTGGCAAAATGGGCTAAAGGGCTATTAAAATGAATACCTCCCTGCTCTTTCCCGCCTGCAGTTGAGAGATTAACAGCTGGGGAGTAGGTGAGCAGGAACAATCTTCTCACATTCAGTGATTTTTTCCAGCGCCACCGAATACAATTCTATTGAAACTGGAGCCCTATTCAGGATAGGGGCAGTGCATGGACTCTAGAAACTTGCTTTCTCTGGAGGGAGTATTTCGTGATGGGTATCTTTGCCTTGTTTCCCATCTAACAGGTCACCGGAAGCCAAATAATAGTGAAAACTTTGTGGATGCAAAGTCCTTTCAGGAATTAAGTTGCCTGAAAACAAACTCATTCTTCCTGAGCTATAGAAATATTAAGAGTCCTTAAAGGCACCTGCCCCGAGAGATTTTTTAAATTAGAAATGTCCAGGACTGGATGCTTCATTTGAATTTTTCCTTTTCTCTGTGCCCTGCTTTTGAACATTCCGGTGCTTTTTGACTTGACTTTTATTATGAACCCAGGCTCCTAAAACTTCTACAGTGCTGTCGATGCAAGTTACCTCAATTGAATTAAATAATGACAGTAGAAATTGTCTTTTGTTTTTCCTAAACAAATATTGGATACTGCATACCATATTAACCCAAAATCATCCTTCAGTTTATACAGGAGAAAATTAACATCATTATTCACATGAAAAATAATTGGAGAGTATATTTACATAGCCTCTAAAATCCTTTTCTTTTGTAGCTTTCATACACATGAAATCCCATATTTTCATACATACTAAATCTTGTATTTTAAGTCAAACACTAGATTTTTTTAAATGGGTTGTTTATGAATTATAAAACGAAATTTTTAAACTGAATTTCAAAAGAAATTCCAGTTAGAAAGCAAATAAGGAGAAGTAACAGAAAATACAATATGATATAGTGATTTACTATTTTATTTAATTCATACAGCTAGGTTTAATTTTAACACATCTCCATGGAAGATAGCACATTCAGCGCAATGGATCAGAAATAAATGCTCTGCAATTAAAATTGTCCTTACATTACACATCGATTTCAGGATGACACAAAGGGCATATAGCACTTTGCACTTGACTTTGCACTAATACTTACATTTCCTAGAGAGTGAAGAAAGCGGAACATGTTGTGCACTGATTTTGTTTTTGTATTTTCTTTGAGTACCCAAACAAAATGCCCCACTCACGTCCAAAGTTCCTATGTAAAAATGTGCAAACTGGAAAAACCAAAAGGAAGCCACAACTGGAGTCTGGAAAAGACGGGACTTAATGCCATTGGTGGTTCTGGTTGTCTTAGGGAAAAAAGTGTCCAATTTTTCTTTTTAAATATATTGCAGTGAACCCAAATTTGTGGTTGTTCCACAGCAGGATTCATTTACACATGATTAGTTCCGGCTTTGCCTGGTGGTGAGTTTGAGTGCAAGTTCACAGCCCAGAGTGTGGGACCCTGGGTTGCTCAGCACGCCAGCTTAGCTCCAAGTGCATCCAGCAGAGTAGGTGCCAGGACAAGGTGAGGTTGCTACTCAAATGGCGGATGAGGTCCCTTCTCTGCCCGAAAAACTGACTAATGACATCAGCCTAGAGCCCTCTACTCTGGGTTGACACCCTAGCAGCTTCGCAGCTGCAGACAGCTGCTGGCCCCACAAAGAGCCCTTACTGGGAGGGCAGCCGCTGGCACAGTTTTGCTGCTGCTGCTGCTGCTGCTGCTGCTGCTGCTGCTGCTGCTGCTGCTGCTGCTGCTGCTGCTGCTGCTGCTGCTGCAAAATCGTTCGAGCAGCAGCGGCGGCGGAAACGTGAAGCAAGGGGGCATTGACCTGGGCATGCAACAGGCACGACGGGTGCTGGAGCAGGTGGCAGTAGCCCCACGGCGTCGGCGTGGGCTGCATACTCTGCGCAGCCCGGGTTGCTCCCCTCCTGACCCCTTGCATGATACTCTCAATGCTGAAGGAGGTGCATCCGCCTCCCGGCGGTGACGCCGGCCCCTTGTCCTCCTCCCAAGGCTGGGGGCGCAGAGAGGGCTGCAGCCCCGGGACGGCGCCGCGGATTGCCAGGTCTGCTAGCTGCGTTTTCTCCAGCGCGTCAGCGTAGGCAGGAGTGGAGAGCAGTACATAGCGAAGGGGGTGAGGGTGCAGCAGCGCGCAAGGGTGGCACCCGGCAGCCGCAGAGGAATAGGTCCTGGGAATAGGATGCTGCGGCGCCGGGGGGCCCAGCAGCAGGCTCGGGTAGGGGCCGCTCAGGGCGGCGGGCGCGGCGGGCAGGGGGAAGGGGTGATGCAGCTGGGCTCCGGGCGGCGCGTGGTGGCGCTTGAAGCGCTTCCTGCGCCTAAGGAAACTGCCGTTGTCGAACATGTCTTGGGAGGCAGGGTCCAGGCTCCAATAGTTGCCCTTGCCGGGATGGCCCGGCTCGCGGGGGATCTTCACGAAGCAGTCGTTGAGCGAGAGGTTGTGGCGGATGCTGTTCTGCCAGGCCGGGAACTTGCGGCGGTAGTAGGGGAAGCGGCCGCTGATGACGGCGCAGAAGCCGCTGAGCGTGAGGCGCTTGTGCGGGCTCTGCAGGATGGCCATGGTGATGAGCGCGATGTAAGAGTATGGGGGCTTCACCGGCTGAGGGACGTCCCGAGAGGCCGACGCAGACTCGGAAGTTACCCTGAACTTGGTACCAAACTCCAAAGGGTCGCTCGGGCCTTCGCTCGCGGTGCGCTTTTGGGGAAACGCACCCGCGCCCCGCCGCGCCCCCTGTGGCCGGTGCAGCTGCTCTAGAAACTGCGGGCTCCCCTTGGCCTCCTTGTCTTCATCTCCCTCCTCTCCCAAGATATCGATCTCACCTTCTTCCCCGTCAGATCCCCGGAGACTGCGTGGCGGGGTAGCTCGAAGCCGCTCAGCTCTTGGCATGTTCATGGAGGAGCAGGTTCTGCAGACTAAGGGGAGGTGTGGAGCCGCTCACCTGGTTCCTGGTGGGCTGGGTGGAAGCCTGGGTTAAGTGTCCCAAGAAGCAGAAATGCTCGTGGTTACCCTTTAGGAGTTTTCTTCTGCTGGTTTCTCCTCCTTTCCAATACCCTCCAAAAAAGATGCACTTTATCTTTTAGTAAAGCATCGTGGAGTGCCTGTGTGGGATGAATTCTCCCTCCCCTCTCCTTTATACCTCTACCTCAGAGCAGTCCCACTTCCTCTGGAGGCAGTACAAGCAGTCCAATGAAGAGGGTCCGCTGCGCAAACAATGACACGGGAAATAATCTTCACCCTCCTCCTCCTTACAACCACTCACCTAGGAAGATGCTCCACTCCTCAGATTTAACCAGCCAATAGTTGCATAGGCTCTGTTCACTTGCTTTTTAAATCTCCGAAACAAAAGAGGTAGGAAATTACACCTAACAATCTCTGGCCACCTGGATTTTGGGGCCTATTTCCTCGAAGACAGAAAGTGTGTGTGTGGCAGGGGAGGTAAGGGGGGGGGGCTGGAAAGGCACTGAAATGTATATGGTGTTTGACTGTAAAAGAATGTGTAACAACACAAGTATGTTTTCCTATTTCCTAGTTCATTGTTCACCAATTTTCATTGGTGGATTCTGTTCCTGATCCAGAATGACAAGCGGAATGATTTTTAATGTTTTAACTGTATCCTTAAACTCAAGGGGGTATAAGAGGGTGTTATATGGTTCCCACTAATCCCCACTCCAGATCCTTAAAATGTTCTCCCTGACTCAAGTTTTTGAAAAGGCTGAGAAGTCCTGGCATTAAGCTTCGGGAGTTCAAGGTAGAAGAAAAGCAGAAGGACTAATGAGAAGTTTTCTTACAACAGTGATTGTGGAGCCTTGAACAATTAGCCACACTGAAATTCATTTTATACCAAGATCTTGCATACACTGGCTTATATAACTACAATGGGTTTCTGCTCCCTTCCCTCTCTACCTCTCCCTTCTTTAACACACACACACTCACCCCATTAAGCACTTTCTCTAATAAATAATAAACTTAAAACTTAAGGGAGGCAAAGAAGGGCCTGCAGTTTCAGTATCTTTATATCACTAGGTACATTTCCCACACTGGTGAGGAGTAGTAATATGACAGACAAGTTCTGCTTAACACACTTGACATCTTTGGAAGTAACAAGACTTTTAGACTGACTTCATTTAAATCAGCTCAGAGACCAAAGTAAGAGTATAGGGGAATATAATTTTATATGTTATATAAATAGGGATCATATGGTAAAACACCAAGCCACAGTTTATATTCATAACTTAAAACCCATCTACTTATGAAAAGACTTTGAGGTGGCACCTAATAAAAAGGCAGCATAAAAGAAATGGTTTAGGCTATTGTCACATAGTTTGTAAAAGACAATGAATTTTCAGTGAGGTATCAGAAACCAGATAAAAGGGCAAAATACAACCAAAAGGCACTTACTGCCTTCAGGATAAAAAGTAGCTTCAAGTAGCTAGTTCCTTCAGGATAAAATTTTGAAACAGCCTCCTTGAAAGTCTTTTCTACATTCTTAATCTCTCCTCTGGAGGTGTTTACCCTCTAAGGCTTCAACAGCTATATGTAGTTTGAAGTAGGACAAATAAAAGAGGTTGTTAAGCCTAATAGATTTGTGCTTGAATCCTGAATTTACCAATTACTACTTGTGTGATCTACTAAACTAAGTTCTGAAGGGTCAAAACAGGTGTCTTATTCAACCTTAGATTCCAGATGCCTTCTCTTAACCCCCTGCAGGTAAGGCACATTGCTTCCATCACCAGAAGAATCCAATTACCTGGAAAGGGAGTACTGTTAATTTTCCTAGAGTCAACTTCTATGGGGATTTGGCTTATTTAAAAATGAAAAGAAAAGGGCACTTAAAAATAAAAACCCAAACAAAAAACCAAGTTTCATTATGGAAATATGTCAAATGGGGTACAGAAAACAACTGAGAATTCCCAATGGCTGAAGCTGAGATAATTTGAGCAAAAAAATAAAGTATCTATGTATCCACACTTATAAAAATAAATGAATAGTAAGTGGGAGAAAAGTAAAGTTCTCCTACAGAAGAATTCCAAATAAGTTATGTAAGTACTCTGCCCTTCAGCATGACTACCCACTCTTACTGTAGGCAGGGCATTGTGATTTCCTTCCAAGGAGTAGAGTATGGAAAGTGTGGGAGGGAGTGATGTTACAGGGGAGAAGCCTGACAAACACATAACCAGGCGATCAGGTAGACAATGTCATCAATAGTCATCATTCATGCTGACAGTATATACTATGATGAAAATGACACCCTGTGATAGCCTCCCCCAAAACACCAATCTAATCATGAGAAAAACATCAAATCCCAATTGAAGAGTATCCTATATATCTGATCAGTACTCCTCAAAACTACAAAGATCTGATAAGTTGCCCTTCCGAAGGGCTCTACCTTTTTGCCTGTATTTTTATTTTGTTCATAAATTATTTTAGAGGTGCTTTGTCTTGTTATTTAATTTTTCCCAAAATGAAATATTTTTCAGTGATCAGAGCCATTATCAGTTTAATAAAAATACAGTATAAAATCTAAACGAAAAACCAGTAAAGTCTGCAAAAAGTTAAAACATTATCTAGGTTTGGAAAAACAGGTGCTTTCAGACACTATTGAACTAAAGCAAAAAGACAGAGCCCTTTGGAAGGACAACTTATCAGTATCTTTAAATGTGCATATCCTGGAAGTTAATGATTCCACCCTTATATATTCTAGAGAAATATTCCCAGATTAAGAGTCAGAAAGTGAAAGACTGTTTCTGGATGGTTTCACCCTTGTATGGTATATAAATAACCAAAGAATACAAACTAGAAAAGCACAACAAAAATAATTCTTAGATTCTGTGAAAAATATACTGGTTAACAGAGGAAAAGAGGGGGAGGGAGGAGAAGGGAGGAGAAGGAAAAAGGCAGAACACTGGCATTGGAGTTTCGGTGGAGGTTGAAAGAATTCCACTCTCAAAAGTCACCACATGTCAGAGGCTTTCCATACTACTCAAACTAAAGTCAGTCTTTATTCTTATCAGCTTGCTTAGGGTTACCTCGTATTTTCTCACATCCCTCCACCAAAATGTAGGCAGTATAGGAACCTGGCCTTTCTATGCCACGTGCAGTTTCAGCTCCAGCACTAATACTTGGGCAAACTGGAAGCCCTTAATAAAATAAATAAAATAATGCCTTTTAAAAAAATGAATGTTCCTATGCTATACTATGAACTACACAGCAGTTAAAGAGCAAGCCATATTTATATGCAGTGTCATGGAAAGATATAAGACTAATAGTTCACTTAAAAAAAAAAAAACTAACACTGTAATATATATTGATGTCTTATTTAAAACACACACATTACAAAAATAAAACCTTTCTTTGAGTATATTTATGGCAAATTCATAAGTTTCCTGAAGAAACAGTTGAAACTATAACTCTAATCATGGGGAAAAAATCCACTCTGGGAAACAATGTTAACCATAATGTGTGTGTACATGACATGAAATGTCTAAAAGCATACACATTAAATGGACAACATCGCTTACCTCTATGAAGAGACAATGATTTAAAAGAGAAAGGGGAGACTGATTTCATCTGTAATGCTTGCATTTTCACAACACAAATATACTGTTACCTAATGAAAAATATTTAAGGATAATTTAGAACATTTTAAAGGAAAAACAGTTTATAAAACTGAGTTTTATAAACAGATTTTAAAGAATATAGACTAAAATACCTTCAAACATTTTTCTCACAACAGGATAAGAAGTCCTTTCCTCATGGTGTAGAACAAATGAATTGAGACACTTATTTGGCAGAAAACATTATAAGTATTATTGTTACCACATTAATTACAAAACGAATTGTTAAAAAGAAGAAAACATTTATTTAGTCTCTGCTGGATGTCTGAAGCTGAGCTAGGTGCCTTTATTTAGTCCTCACAACCACCTTGAAGGTTGGTGTTATCAATGTTCTGTTTATAAACAAGGAAACTAATGCAGAAAGTACTTTGCCCAAAATTACATAGCCAAGAAACAGTAAGACTGGAATTAAAGCCTAGATATGAATCAAAAACTAGCTAGAATTTCTTTTGAGGAACTTGCTACCATGAAATAAGCATATTCTTTCAACTTTAAATTAAGAGAATGGATTCAAGGGGCAAAAGAATGAGTATAAAGAAGTTACATTTAAAAGGTACAGAATACAGGGTAAGACAGATAATTTAGTCAATTAGCCTGCCTCCAACCACTGGAAACATTGAATATTCACAGTCATAACTTTTTAATTTAAAATTCCAGAAGAAAAAAATCAAAAAACCATTTTGATAGCTTTCTCTGATATTTAGCCACCTAATGCTTTTCTCTTACTACTTAAATATAGTTATGCTGACCTGGAGAAAAGCTATTGTACATTTAGATACCAATCACTTAGGTGAAGACTTAAATTATTCAAAGTTGCCTGCAATTATATCTGAAGTTCTATAGCTTTCCAATTTTTATTTTATTCTGAGAATTAGAGAAGTTAAAAAAAACAAGATAAATTTAATATCAGTAGTAAAATCTACTTTAAAGTTCTAATTGGAATCTTCTAAATATATTACAAAGTGAGTGACTGAAATTTCATTACACTGTCTACCAGTAAGGCTTAGAATTGATTCATAATAAGGTTCTTATTAATTTCTTTGATAACTATTTCTTCCACTAATAAGCCTGTAGCCACAACAAAACTTTTATTTCATTTAATAAAAGTGGTGAAAGATTTCTAAAAAAGTTTTGTTAGTAACAAAAACTATGCAATCAGCTGAAGTTTAAGGAAAAATGACAATGTTAATGTAAGTTTTTAACATTATTTTAAATAACTTCAAGGGTGAACTTCAGTATATGTAAGCTCCAAAGCCAATTTATACTTCAGAGGGTATATTTTATTGCATGATGTCAAATGTTTTACAGCACTGATTTACTATTGTGTATTCTATAAATAAATATTTAAAAGTACAATGGAATTCATTACAGAAATAATGGAAAGTGATGATTGAAATACGCCATGTAGAAAACTTATTCCCAATTTTATCATCCAATCATTTTGATAAGAAATACTTCAAGTATTATAAACAAACTTGATCTTCTTTAAAATCTGCTGTTCATCGCTTTTCTTTTTCTGTCACAGTAGCTATAAATAGTTGTTTAAGGATATCCTTATCTAAATACCTACCTGCAAACAGAACAAAATAAGGTGTAAGTATATTGAAATGATCAAAATGACACAGTTCACTTATCAATTCCAGATCATTAAATGCTTGATGATCTAATTTATAAAAACAATAATAATTGAGTGATTCCTTCCTTAACTCTCTAGTTAAGTTCCTCAAAACCAAATTGGGTCATGGATTAATCACTTTTCTAAAACTGAAGAGTAACTGAGTAATATTCCATTGTGTATATACACCTCATCTTTTTTATTCATTCATCAGTTGATGGGCATTCACATTGTTAGCAGTTCTTGGCTATTGTAAATACTGATGCAATAAACATAAGGGTATATATACATACATATATATCTTTAAATTTGTGTTTTTTGGATACTCCAGGTAAATACAGATGAAATCCTGCCTTTTGCAACAACATGAATGGACCAGCAGATAATTGTGTTTAGTGAAATAAGCCAGAGAGAGAGAGACAAATACCATGTAATTTCCCATATAAGTGGTACAGAGAGAAAAAAAAACAAATTAACTAAATAAAAGAAAAATAAAATTTTGGACTATAAGATCACTTATTGGGTACCAGAAGGGAAGGGGAAAGAAGGGTGGGTAAATCAGGAAAAAGGGGACAATGGCATGGTGAAGAAAAGAATTAGACTTTTAGTGGTGACCTTAATGTAGAATATATGCAAGCTCATTCTCAATGATGTATTGCTGAAATGTGTTATAATACAATGTTACTTCAATGAAAAAAATACAATTTTAAAAATAAATTGAAGAGTAAAAGGCCTGAGTTCTTGTGAATTTTAACACATGACAAAGACAAATATATTAACCACAAGTTTATATAGGTTTATAAAAAGGGTTCTGATTTGTGAATATTGCTTAAGCAGTACATTGTATCTCTAAATACATTTTTTATTTTGCTTTAGAAATTTAACTGTCACTCACCAATAAGAACCAATCGATTTGTTCTTTCAGCATCATCTTTCCAGCTCACTGGAGTCTCCTCCAGATCATACAGCTCATGGACACCTTGGACAATCACTTGCTGTGCTTTGTCTTTGATTGACACCAGTCCCTACTCAATAGAGAATGATCAATTTGGTCTTGGTTCAAATTTAAAAGCAGAAATTGAGCATCAGAGTTAAAGGATTAATTATTCATATTCTTTTAAAATACAAACTCATAAAAGAGATACTGTTAAGATTACTTAAATCCAGTTATTTGTGCATTGAAGAAAAAGTTTTCTAAGGTTTCCACTATTTGTTTAATTTTACTATTTAATTTTTAATTTTTTTATTTTTTACATCACTGTTCATTTTTAAACAGTATTTGCTTCCCCCCCCCCCTCAGGTGTAGTCCCCATAGAGTTTCCTTCACCAATGCACCCGTGCACCACCACCTCAGTCCCCTGTGCCTTTCCTGCCTCCCTCTGATACCTCTCCCTCCTCCTCCCCTGCAGTATGTCTCTGATTTATAATTGCCCATTTTTTGCTTTGTTGTGTTTTGTACTGTTATTATTTTTTTACACTGATGTGATTTCCACTATTTGAAAAACATTTTTGTAACATGTTCAATTCCTTGTCCTATATAAAGAAGAAATCAGGTGCTACTGTTGTGATAATGAAACTAGAGTAACCACCAATACAATAAAAAAACATAAGGATGTGAACCATTCAAGTAAGAGCACATTGTAAAAGAAAATCCAGAGCAAAATACAAGACAAAGGACTCACAGAAATGGAGCACACAGAGTAAGATGACACACACCTTAGAGACAAAAGGGGAAGGAATGACTCTATCAGTGGTAGAAGGAGGGGGGCAGAGCAATGACACATCTCTGTCCTTGAGAGGGTAGGAGGTCAAGTGTCCACTCTCCAGAGTGGACCAGGCCCCATGTGAGAGGTGTGCCCCAACACTGCCAGCTCTGTGGCCTGTCTGCTATTTACATGACCCTCAGTACAACAGCACATCTCAGACGGGCACTTTGGAGAGGTGATCAGGGTGGTAGGGCAGGGCCTCCTGATGGGGTCAGTGGCTTCATAAGAGGACAGAGCCATTTCCCACTCTGCCACATGGAGGCAGAGGAAGGTGGCATCTCTGAGCCAGGTAGAAAGTCCTCTTCAGAGCCCAACATGCTGGCTCCCACAACCCTAAATCCCAATCTTCAGAACTGTGAGAAAGAATTGCTGTTTAAGCTTCCAGCCCTTGGTGTACACCTGTGAGCCTGAAATCACAGATTCTGGGACAGGGTTATGTGAATCTGTAAGGGAACCAACAACTGTAGAGTGACTGAGCCTCTCTCAGATGTATTTTTAAATTTTTTTCAATATGCAGTTTATATATACAGTTGTAACAAATAAGACTATTTTTAAAACAAAAAAAATGTTTCTATGTACATTGATTTTTTTAAAAACAATCCCATTTTTAAAGATAAAATTTATTATATATATATTAGAGTATTCCTTCAGTTATTTATCGAAACAAAAGGATAATATGCATATCATATTCTACTGATTATTCTACTTTTAAAGATTTTATTCTTGTTTCACAGTTTTAGTGGGAAAATTTAAGAAGTTAAAGGATTCTGGCAATAAAGATTTTGTTTTTGTTTGGGTTGCAATAAAAGAATACAATAAAGGAAAAGAAAATAAAGGAAAAGAAAAACTATTAATCTGGATCATTTTATATTGATCTGAGAAATGAGGCACAAATTATCTGATAAATTAGCTCCTGTAGGAATAAAATGATTTCTTTGAAATGCTTGTTAAACATATTTGTTATAATATACATAATGAGAAACAGTAAGAGAAGAAACACTCATAGTTACTCCCAATACACAAATTTTTTTTTAGATTTATTTATTTATTTATATAAGAACCGGGGTACAGGCCAGATCACGGAAGGATTCACCAGAGAGGATTCATCAGAGACAGTGCAGGGAACAGAACAGGTGGGCTGACGAAATACACTGGTGAGGGGAGCAGCGGGCGAGACAGGAGAGGTCTGCCACGCCATGTGGGACCCTCGCCGGCCGGCCGGGATTGAACCGGAACTGCAGAGACTGTGGACGGCTTCACAAGGGGAGGCCCTCAATACACAATTTTTGTTCATTTCTGGTTTAGTCATACATTTTGGGTGTGCTGTTTCAGTTTTTCTTTGCTGTGTGAGTATTGTTTTTTGCTTTTTTCCTCCATTTTTTGAGATACAAATGACATACATAACACTGCATTAGTTTAACATGTACAACATAATGATTTGGTTGTTTTTTTTGCTTCCAAAATTTTAATTTTAGTATGTAATAACATACTCCTTGGAAAGAATTACCTAAGCCTCAATTCTGTGTTATTTGCTTTGAAGTATTAGCTGCTACTAGAGTCAACATTTTAGACATATTATTATAAGACTAATACTTTGTACAGGAAAGAGGAGGAAGTCTATACAGATATAGACTGTACTGTCACAGAATCCACCATTGTTGATATGATGAGAGGAACACCAAAAGAATCAAAAAGGACAACTTAGAAAAACTGCCATATACCTAAGGACAAAAAAACTGCTACATACCTAAGGACAAAATGTGTGGTGGTGAAGGATAAGCCAGTGAACTCTGAAATGGTCTTGGTAGCTACTAGTATAAATGTCTGAACAATTGGTTGTTGAAGTAACATGCAGCCCCCTAACCCCCAATTAAATAACAGGGATCAGAGTAGTTATAGGATGAATTTGTGCTCTGTCAGTTAGAATTATGGAATGAACATGGAGCTAAGTCATTAAGTAGTAGAACGATCTGGAATAGACTGGAATTCACCTGTGTTGCTCGGCAGTGCTAATCCCAGCAGACCAGGGCAGGGAAAACCAAAATAGTTTCTGGATCGTCTCACACTCTGTCATTCTAGTGATACCAAGAAGTCACTACTGACTGGAGAATCTAGTTACTAACAGTAATAATAAGCAGTATGGTAGAAATTTTATGCACACTCTGGAAATGCCAGGGTAGACTCAAATAACTGCTGATTGTTTAAACAGACAACCCAGAACCACTATCCCCTGGAAAAAACCTTTCATGACATTAAAAACCCAAACATCAAGAAATATGAATGGAAAAAAAAAAAAGAAAAATGAATGAATTTCAAGACACAGAGAAAGAATACTTCTAGTCCTTTGTGACTTTGTTTACAGCATGACAAATGCCTGGTGTTTGTTAAATGCATCAAGAAGCATCAAGTTCAATTACAGCAAGATTTCTAATATTAACTCTCCAATAATGAAACTTTCTTAAAAAATACAGTTTTTTCTAACTGACCAAGGTGTGTGCCAACAGGCAAAAGAATGTGAACAAGTCAAGCTAGTTAGTAACAGTACTTTTGTTTAAAGCCAAATATGATTTTATATAACAAAAAGAGGTCTTGTTTAAAAGTATGAAACTAAACTGTATACTGTACCTTCAGTCGTATGACCTCCATGCAGTCATCATCCTTGTTTCTCACACTCTTTTCCCACAGAAGATTCTATATCAAGTGACATATGACATATTTTAATAAGACCAACATTAAGAATAGCTACAACTATGTAACAAAACAGTAAGTAATAAATCATTATTCAGTTAAACATTGAATTCACCTGAATAAATACATTTAGACTTTCTTCCTTAGCATTTCCTGGTACTTCAAATGTAACTGTAACAATACTCTGCAAATCAAGAGAGAAAATCAATGGTGATTTTTAAAAACTATAATATCAATATATTTTAAAATATCACAAGTTTTTTTTTTAATTTAAATTTTATTTTTATATTCCCCATACAATTACAAACCCCTTATTCTGACGCCAATCCCTCCTTTCCCCACCCCTCACCCCCCATAGAGTGTCTCTGGTTCATAGTTGTTTGTTGATTTTGATATTTAAAATATCACAAGTTTTAAGGTGAAAAGGAACACATGCAAATTTATGCTGCTTAACAATATATAGTAGATACATCTTTTTCACTATAGTTGCTAATTCCTTATATCAGCAACTCCATTTTCTAGATTCTGTAGAGTTGATCAATGGTTTAGGATTTAAATGGAGAAACTCTATTAGCACACAGGTACTCATCATTTTATTCATTCTTGCCAAGAGCCTCAGCACTAAGTATGGACACAGTGTATGGACCATGTACTGAGCCAGGTGCTTTTTCCTTGGTCACTTCCTCTTTTCATTTATTCATGATTACAATCCTATAGTATAAAGAGGATTATTATCATTTCATACATTGGGGAAAAGGAAAAAAAAAGAGATAAAGTTCTCTTGAAAAATATGAATAAAAAGGAAAGCTTCAGCTTGTCTCTGATCAAGCATGTGTCAAGGGGAGGCAAGAGCCTAGAGATGAGAATGATGGTATAATGTCATCTTTGGTTTAGAAGGTTGACATCATCATTTATAGAATGTTGATTCTGAGATTTATTTTTTCTCCTGGTCTTAATAAATCTCTTGCTTTGGGCCTCCCCGGTAGCGCAGCGGTTGAGCACTGGCTTGTGAAGCTGCCCACAGCCTCTGTAGCTCCGGTTTGATTACCAACCACAGGGTGAGGGTCCCACATGGCGCGTAGACATCTCTTGCCGCCCGCTGCTCCCCTTAGCAGTGTACTTCATCCATCTGCATGTTCTGCTCCCTGCTCTGGCTCTAGTGAATTCTCTCACCCTCCCATGCTTCTGACTGTACCCAGCGCTTGTATAAATAAATAAATAAATCTTAAACAAAAATAAATCTCTTGGGCCTCCCCTGGTGGCACAGCGGTTGAGCGCTGGGCTGCAGGGCTGCCAGCAGCCTCTGCAGCGCCGGTTCATTCCCTGGCGGCTGGCGAGGGTCCCATAAATAAACAAACAAACAAACAAATAAATAAATCTCTTGCTTTCCACTGAAAGGAACCAGAAGCTTAAGACTCCCTCCAGCTGGCCACATAAGCACAATTAAACTCCAATTTGCTGCTGTAACCCAAAATTTCCAACCCAATGATGAAAACATACCAGAACTAAACATAAGAGCACAAAATCACCTTGAATAATGAGAATAAGATGCTGAATTCAAGCTCAAAATGTCTTAGAATAGACAGAAAGACCATACCAAGAGAATTATACTAACTTCCTAAAACAGCATCACTGGCTGAGAAATTTCACACACCGGGAGAATATCATATAGACTTTTAGCATAAGATATAAAAAGACAATAACTCTCTTTTTATCCAAATATAAAGTATGACAAAGGTAAAGATCAATTTAACTATAAAATATACTGGCATTCAGTCTCCACTGTGCTAATAATAGGAAAAGCAGAAAGCAGATATATGAAGTGTAAATCAACTACAAGTACTTTAAAACATCAGAATTTAAAAGTAATTATTTTTTCACAACAGCCAAGAGGTGGCAACAGTGTAAAAGTTCACCGATGAATGGACAAGAAAATATACTACAATAATGTATAAAATGTGATATAATAATGGAGCATCATTAATTCTTTAAAAAAGAAGAGTGTAAACTTCACTCACATGTAACATAAAGAGAATCAAATAATTGACAGACGGATGAAGCAAAAGTAAACTTTAGGATCTGTAAGACCAATTAGTGTTATCAGAAGGGAAAAAAGGAGAGGGGTGGATAAATCATGTAGAAGCGGTTGATTGTACAGTGAGGATGGACTGAGACTTTTAATGGTGAACTTAAGATACTTGATAAGGTTTTTTTTTTTAAGTATTAGGCTTTTATTGCTTTTTAAAAAATTTTCTTTTCTTTCTTTTTTTTGAAGATTTACTTATTTATACATGCACAGGGGTACAGGCCAGAGGCGTGGGAGGGTGAGAGGATTCACCAGAGACAGAGCAGAAAGCAGAACAGGCAGACGGACAGAAGACACTGCTGAGGAGAGCAGCAAGTGAGACAGGAGAGGTCTGCCATGCCATGTGAGGATCTCCCTGGCAGGCTAGGAACTGAACCTGCGCTGCAGAGGCTGCAGACAGCTTCACAGCACAGTGTTCAACCCGCTGCACCATTAGGGAGGCCCCACATGTTGAGTTTTAATATTAAAGATTGTATAATGTTATAATGCAATGTTACAATGCTTACAAAAATAATAAGGAATGAAAATCCTGTCAAATGCTACAAACATGGATGAACTTTGAGGACATTACGCTAAGTGAAAGAAGTCAATCACAGATATACAAGTTACTGCTGGTCCCCACCTATATGAAGTTTGTAAGCACCCAAAATTACAGATGCAAAAATAAGATGATGGCTGCTAAGGGCTAGGGGGAGGGAGAATGGGGATTTGCTGTTTCATGAGTGTATAGTTTCAGTCATGCAAGGTAATAAAATTCTAACATAATAATAAATAGATTCGCTGTATGGTTCATATAACTCACAATACTGTACTGCACATGTAAAGTTTCGTTAAGAGGCAGATTTCATGCTATGATTTTTTACTATGATTTTCTTTTAAAAGTATTTTTAAACCTTAATACTCCGCTTTTTAAGAATTTATTTGAGGCAACACTGGTTTACAACACTGTGCAACTTTTAGATTTATAGCTTCACCCCTTATACCAGTTTCCACCCACCACCATCCAATTCTCCCCTCTCACTGTTGTACCTATTCCTCCACCTGCCTTCCCCGGCTCTAGTAACCACCATTCTGTTGTCAGAATCTACAGGTTTGCTTTACTTTTTGTAAGTTTAAGGTAATAATAGTATGCATAAAAACACAATCCTTTTTTCTTTTAATCATGATAAATACCTAAAATTCTATACTGAAATATATAGCAAATCATACAGCATGTCAAAATAGCAGCAAAGGGTTGTTAAATAAAATAAAATTTGTCAGTTTAGTAGAGGTAAGGTAGAAATTCTGTCTTCAAAAATGCTTAAAATGTGGGCCTCCCCTGGTGGCGCAGCGGTTGAGCGCTGGGCTGCGAAGCTGCCCGCAGCCTCTGTTGTGCCGGTTTGATCCCTGGCCACCAGCGAGGCTCCCATGGCGAGGGTCCCACATGGCACACAGACCTCTCCTGCCGCCCGCTGCTCCCCTTAGCAGTGTATTTTGTCAGTCTGCCTGCTCTGTTCCCCACTCTGGCTCTGATGAATTCTCTCACCCTCCCACACTTCTGACTGTACCCAGTGCTTGTATAAATAAATAAATAAATCTTTAAAAAAAATGCTTAAAGTGTATATTATAGGTTAGATAAGTTGGCTTTAATATTGGGAATGTCTGAATATAGTCTGATACTGCTTTATTTTACCTTAAAGATTTTTCATATCAAGAATGATTTTTTACATTCTTATCTTAGAGATTTTTTTGGCAGTTAGAGCAATGGCTTAATATTCCTAATGAATACAATTAATTTCAGTGTGAGGAAAAATGTTTTTAAAAAGACAATGCATCATGGGGCTAAGGAAGGGAGATTAAACATTTTAGAACTAGATGTTTGCCTGAACAAATAAACTTTAAATAGACCCTAAAGATGATGAAATGCATGAATTTCCAGTTCGTAAGATGAGGTCACAACTGATAATCCATAATTGGCTGTACTAATCAAGTATACATAGACTGCCAGTTGAATTTTTCTCATCTACTTCCTGTCTTCCAACTGCGGGTCCTCCTTATAGTGAATAAGAAATCCATGAAAAAGAGAGAACTGCATTAAACACTATTCAGGGATAAGACTTTAATAACACACACATCATACCCATTTCAGACTTTTTCCCAGCTTATATTTGTTTTGAATCTAAAGTAACTTTCCTTTTCTCATGTCCACAGACACAGAAAGAAGCAGAAAACTGAGACAACAATTCAGAAAACTAAAGCAAACTGCCTTCAAATAAAATTTAGGAATAACAGGGGTTTTTGTTCTATTTTTTTTTCTTTAACCTACAATGTTATTTCCCTCAGTTTTCTTTTCTTTGGCAAACAATACCTAAAATGCAATTAATTTCTTTTTTTCATCTGGAAGACTAAGCCTACCAACAAGCAAAATTCAAAATCTGTATATCTATATTCCAGCTTTCTTTTCCTCTTTGCCTGTGTAATTGACACTGTGAAAAACTGCTAGTCAGGCACAAAGCTATCATGTATTTGGCATTTTTTTTTTAAAGATTTATTTATTTATTTATACAAGCACTGGGTACAGTCAGAAGCGTGGGAGGGTGAGAGAATTCACCAGAGCCAGAGCAGGGAGCAGAGCAGGCAGAAGGACCGAAGTACACTGCTAAGGGGAGCAGCGGGCGGCAGGAGAGGTCTGCGTGCCATGCGGGACCCTCCTCCAGAGACCGGGGAGCAGCCGGGGATCAAACCTGTGCTGCAGAGGCTGCGGGCAGCTTCACAACCCAGCACTCAACCGCTGCGCCACCGGGGAGGCCCCATATTTGGCATTTTCATCCAAGTAAGTCTACATTCCAGATTTCGATTATTCTAGTCAAACCAGGTTGTTTCCTATCACTTCTCTCTCTTCATACTGCTCCATCATCAATCACTAAGATGATTCAGGCAAGTCTACCTGTGAAAAAGCATTTGGTTTATTCCATTTCTATTCTCATTGTAACCAATATAGTCTAGGCCCTTATCTTAGGGTTATCTGGACTTCTACAATATACTCCTACTTGATAACCTAACTCCATACTCTAATCTAATTTATCTGACTCTGCCAGATAGCACAGCATGACTTCTCTTTGCTAGCAAGTCAGTCTTAGAGTCCTGGTATTCCAGAGCATTCTTACTTTCTCACCTCTAAACCTCTGGATTGTTCCTTTCTTTAATGCTTCCAGTCAAAAAGATCTACCAGTCAAGGTTACTTTTTGTTGTATAGGTCAGAATAGTAGTTATCTCTTTGGAGATAATCCTCTTTGGGAGGGTTATTGACTGGGGATGTATACAAAGACACTCTCCTATGATTTTGGAACTCTGTATTTTGATCTGATTGCAAATTGCAGGAAAGTGTTCATATGTGCATATGGATAGGTATGTAGGTACAAACATATGTAAAGAACACTGACTTATAAACTAAAACTTTGTATGTTTTACTATATGTAGAAAAAAATACTACCTTTCACAAAACCTTAGAACCACTGAAAAAGTGGGAGTGTTCATTCCTTTGAGTTCCACTGTCCTTTGTCCAATTTTATAATCTGTCCTATGTTTAAGCATCTAAAGAAGGAAATTGCTCCTTTAGAATTTTATAATAAATAAATGAATAAATACATGGCCTATTTTCTAGTAAATTACAAGGTCTAGGATTTGCTTGAATACATTCCAGCAAGGTTGATGGGTATATGATGAGTTCATATATCTTTTTACTTCTATGTAAATTTGAAATTTTTTACTTTTTAAAAAAAGTTAAAAAAAAAAAAAACTCTAGCCAAAAAAAAAAAAAATGCTTTCCTAAAGAAAGCATTCCTTTTTGATATGATTTGGTAGGTTATTTTTTAGGAATACTATTACCATTAATTTATAAGAAAAATTTTTGAGCATTCCTAGATCCAAAAACACCCTTGACAAATCATACCAAACAGAAACTTTCTACTTTCGGATAGCAGGGGGGAATTTCCATAATAAGATGCTGAAAATATGTATTAACATGTATATACTCAAATCCCACTCCTGAAAATGAGAGAGGTGGGGACTACTGATTGGCCAACTCCTTTTTAAAGCTCCACAAGTGATTCTGATGTATATTCCCCCTTAGAATCAGCTTTTTATTCTTTTAACAAATATTCACTGAGAACCTAGCATGTACCAAGCCCTGTTTAAGTAATGAGGAATTTACATTTAAAGAATTTACAGACTATGTACGAGAAAAGCATTTCAACTGAAACTACAACGCTTTATAGATGCTATGATGGGGGTCTATTTCAAGATACTATGGGAGTAGATACGAGCCATCATAAGGTTCTTGAAAGAGTATATTACGTTTTGTTCATCTTTCAGTCCTTACAACTCATACTATGATGTCCTTCATCCAGAAGGTAAGTAAAAATGTACTTCAGGATCATTTTTATGACTAATATTGAATATTGTAAACAATTCATTTTTCCCCAAAATTTTACTGATGGAAGTTGTATTTCTCTCATTAACTCATTTTAAATGTAAGTAAAGGTGAATAATCTATTAAGATAAATTTCTCTGGAAAAAGTGCCACAAACATGGTATTATTTTTGGCATTATGGCAATGTAGCTCCCCGTAAATATGAGCCAAAAAAAGGGCTGTTATCTTATACTTATTGCAATTAATAATGATTTAGAAATGAGTGATAGTTCCAAGACAGAGGAAGGAGGACAATGTACACTACACACTCACATACAACAAAGAAGTTATGCTACAACTCTACCAAAAGCAATCTGCATGAAAGAAAGATAGGTATAGAGAAAACTATTATTTGTTTCTAGCATCTTTAACATTTACTCAGGAATTAAGAGTTTTAGAGCATGCAAAAAACCTTAAGGGGTTCAAATTTACAATGCTAACTGAAGGTGAAGCTCCAAGTCAGTTTTTATTTTAATGAGCTTGAGATGTTTTTCCTTAATCATTTTGTTCATATAATACAGTTTTTTTAAAAAAAAAAATGAACTGCATATAGAATCCCTAAGCAGCTTTTAAGCAGTAATTCCCCAAAAGAATGCATCAAAATATGCTGAATGTCCTAAAGAATGGAGTAACCAAAGATGCTTAAAAGACATTTTTAAAGATTTTTTTTACCTGATCAATGTGAGGTTGTCTTGTTGGCACATGTTGAAGTTTCTTCTGTAAACTAAGAATAACTAATTTTAAATTCAGAGATAAAACCCTTTTGATTTTAACCTTATTCATTACTTAGATACAAAGTGAAATAAGGAAGAGACTTTCAACAGTTGACACTTATTATAGCTCCAATTTTATACATTGTTCACATATTCTAACAAAGTAGCCACAGATCACTTTCTTAACTTATCTTAAAAATGAACACATTCACATACTTATACATAATTTAGAGAAAATTAATCTTTAACAACATTATTTTGTGTGGTTAAGAGAGATTTCTTTTTCATTCCAATACATCTAATATAGGCCTAAATAATATATGTAAAGATTTTACTATTGCTCAAAATTTCATCAACTCTCCCCATGCTTCCTAAAATAAAAATAACACTGGTTCCTAAAGAAAGTCAGAAGTTTAAATTTTCTTTATAAGTACTTTCCCTCGAACATATCTAAGTTATCAAAAAATAATTTCCATAGGTGCATTCTATATAGTAAGTTACCAGTGATTGAGAGAAAACAAAAAGTCAGGATCTTAAAAATGCATTGTTCTGATATGAAAAGAGCAAGATCAATATGGCATAACAAATTATAACCATAACAACTATAGCATACATTCAGTCACTGATGGGGGTACAATGGGAGGAGCAAAGGACTTAAAATCTTGCAGCAGATGTTCTGCCTTGAAAAACAGTGAGGGGTAAATTAGTAACACCAAGTTTAGGAAAGAGAAAGGCTTGTAGGAACTATTTGAGGGAATGAGTCTCATTGGGGGGTCTTAATAGGGAAAATGTCAAATTAAATCCTTCCCAGCTGGTTGCTCAGAAAAGGATTCTCCTGTTTAGCAACTTAGCACAATGAAAAGTTATACAAAGGCCTTATTTACAGTGGGGGAATCACATTAAATAGCTACTTCTTTAAGTGTCACTAATGTATTATTACTGCTCTTAAGCAAGTGTGGAAAAAGATTATCTAAAGAAATATGTTTGAAAAACCATACACTTCCTGTTCAACATTTAATATTGTTGGACAGTAACTACCCTTCCCTCAAAGAAGAAAGGTTTCTTTTAACTTCCTAGAAGGTCTACCGTCATTAGGTCTGAAAATTAAACTGACAAAACCAGATTAACAGGATAAAAGCACAGAAATTTATTTAAGAGCTTTAACTAACACAGGAGCCTTCAGAAAGACATGAAGATCCTATAAAAGGGTTAAAATGGATTGTTTTTATACTAGGTTTGAGGAAGAGTAGAAAAGTCATGGAAGGATATGACAGATTATGAGTCAAGGGAACTAAGCTAAGGAAAACCGTGAAGTCTATTCCTTCAGATTTCTGTGTCCCTGTGTCTTCAGAGATAAGGATGATCCTATAGTCTGGACACAGGAAGGGTATGTCATGTATAAGAAAGGTTTTATGATTCATCTACTTCAGAAGAAATGGGAGAAAATATTTTGCTACTCATATGTCTGCTAAGGGGCTAATACTAAGATTACATTAAAAAAACTTCCTACAACTCAGTCACAACAAAAACCAAGTTACTCAATTATAAAATGGGTAAAGTATCTGAATAGACATTTTCCCAAAGGTAATACACAAATAGCCAAAAAACATTTGAAAAAATGCATAATGTCACTAAGCATTAAAGAAACACAAATCAAAACCACAATAAGCTATCACCTCATACTCATTACAGCAGCTGCTAACAAAAGCAACAGAAAATAACAAGTGTTAGAGAGGACATGGAGAAATTGGAACCCTGGAGCACTGTTGGTGGGACTGTAAAATGGTGCAGCTGCTATGAAAAATAGTACAGTGGTTCCACTAAAAATAGTAATCATATCATCGAGCATTTCTGGGAATATACCCAAAAGAATTGAAAACAGGATCAAGAGGTTTTTGTGCACCTACACATAGTGATATTATTTGTAATAGATAAGAGGTGGGCACATCCTGAATGTTCATCAATGGATGAATGGATAAACAAAATGTGGTACATACAATGGAATAATGTTTAGCCTTAAAAAAGAAGGGAAATCTTGACACATGCTACAACATGGATGAATCTTGAGGATGGAATGAAATAACATACTGTATGACTATAAGAGGTATCTAAAATAATCTAATTCATGGAAAAAAATAGTAGAGTGTTGGTTGACATGAGCTGTGGGAGGGGAAAATAGGGACTTGTAATAGTTCAGTTTTGCAAGATGAAAAGTTCTGTAAATTCATTGCTCAAAAAAGTGAATATACTTAACACTACTGAAATGTAAGCTTAAAAATAGTTGATTAAAAAAAAAGATACCAATGTCTAAGAAAGAAAGATATGGTCATTCTCTCCTTTATCAAAAAGATTCCCTCAGGGAAAATAGGCAGAAAACTGATCTATCACTAAAGAGAATGGAGGAGTCTGTGGGAACACCCCAACCTGTTTTTCTATGTAGTTAATACACTTTCTCACAGAAAGAACTATACACACAGGTTGGTGTGAAATATTAACAATTTGTTTCTAAATTGAGCTACCACTTACATATAATTTCTATAAGAAAATATGATATCTATTCATTGTGATTTCCAAACATCCAATTGACAAAATTTTCAAGAACATACTCAGGAAAGGTTTGTATGCCAAAGTAATAACAAGAAGCTTAAGTCAAGTGTGCAACTGTGTAAACTATTCATGTACTCCCCTAATTGTCAAATAAAAGGCATGTTATAATAAAAGTGATCAAAATACAGGAAACATACCTTATTCCAGAAAGACTGTCAAAGGCATGAAGATCTAATACATTGGAAAGATCAACTCTAGAAGGGAGAAAACCAATAGTGTGAAATAAAATAAATCAAGGAAAAAAAAAAACTCCTGGACACTTTTGCCAAAATTGTAGATATGAAGATTAATGAATATATTATGCTATTTTGGGAAACACATAAAAAATGACAGGAAAGGAATAAAAAGATTGTTTAAAAAATTATTTTTATAGAATTTACATGTTAGACTTAAAAATGGGTGACGTATAAGATCGAAGCAGAAAATTACTGGTTATTTTGTTTCAATAAGCTATAGTTGTTTTACTTTCAATTGTCTTATCAATTCTGAAAATTTACGATCTTTTCAAATAAATTCTTACAGCAAAAAAAAAAAAAGAAAAGAAAACCTGAAAGCTTTCAAAGCAATTAATTACTCAAAAAATGAAATGAGGAAAGGGCACAAATGGAAAAAACAGTAGTATAGGTGCATTACCTTTGGAATTATTTTTAGGAAATGATACCAGAAAATAGAGGTAGGGGGCTGGGAAATGTAAAAGAGGAAGAGAAAACCATCCAAGGATGTGTATCTAATCACCACTGTAGACAACTCTAGTGGGCTTTCATCCCACTAAGATTTCTTTGGAAACCACATGAAAAGCATGAAGACATTATTTACCCTGGAAACAATGAGTACATTTATCCATGGGCTCCATCTTCCATTGGCTGAAGACTGCTCCATAGGCTATTAATCTCTCCTATTTCCAGGTTGTACACATATCAAGAGTGCTGCCCAGGGCTGCACTGGAATTCCCAGATTGTTTTTATCTTTTTATTCATAAGCTATGTCTCTTTTGTGTTTTTGTTCTACTGTCTGGGAGAATTATTCAACTTTATTTTCTAACTCCTTTACTTTGTTTTATATTGGTCCAACATATCTTTTATTTTCCAAGAGTACTATAACTGCTTCTTTTTCATAGCAACATATTTTTGTTTTATAGATTCAGTAGCTTTTATGTCTCTCTGAAGATTTCAATCAATTTTTTTTCTTCTCTCTATGTTCTCTGGGGTCATTTTTTTTTTCCTAGTCCCTTTTTTTATGGTGGAATTTTTTTTCAAATGTCTGATGATACCATTGGTTTTTATTTAAGAATGAGTCACAAAAAAGCTGATTGGAGATCTATAATGAGTTGAGCTTCAGAATTGATGAACATTGCTTTAAGTTATCAAATAGGAAGTCTGCTTCTACAGACTGTTCCTCAGATACAGATAAATGGGAATTACTAAATTTCTCCATGAAAGAAGTCTGGAGAGAGATGCCCAATGGCTGGGTGTCTTATGTTCAAGTTGTGAGAAGGCATTCTATTTACAGACTTTCAATTAACTTCACATCTTACTCCTGCTCTCTGGGGATACATGTCATTTCTGCAGGTGCCTATAGCATTTTTATATTTCTTTTATTCTCCCTCTCCTTTCCATGATTCTCCCTCTCCTTTCCTTTCCCTCTCTTTTACAAGCAAAATTATAAAAATATGAGGAGTCAAACAACCAAAGATTATACATTTACTGTAAGATTCCTATCTCCATCTAAAAGATGTGACTTGATTTTACTTCCTTCAAAATGGGTTTCACAGAGACTGAAACATCTCTGTGCTCCATCTGAATAAACATTATATCTGTTAGAATTACTTAGTGGTAATTTTTTTTTAAAGATTTCTTTATTTATACAAGAACTGGGGTACAGGCCAGAGGCGCTGGAGGGTGAGAGAATTCACCAGAGACAGAGCAGGGAGCAGAACAGGCAGACAGACTGAAAACACTGATGAGGGGAGCAGCAAGCGAGGCAGGAGAGGTCTACCACGCCATGTGGTTATCTCCCTGGCTGGCCAGGGATCGAACCCCCACTGCAGGGACTGCGGACAGCTTCGCAGCGTGGCACTCAACATGCTGCGCCAGCGGGGAGGCCCAGTGGTAATTAAGTTTCATTAAGGAAACCCATGATTCAAATCAGAAGAGAATATCATATCATAATTTATATTATGTCTGATTTAAATATATAAAATGAATTTATAGAGACTAGTAATGGAGTTTTAATCCTTACTCAAGCTTATTAAACAATAGAAGACAGTGATTTCTTTACAATCAAAAGTAAAATGAAGGAATGATTAAAGAAAAATAATAGGAACAATCTATTTCAAAATTAAACTATAGAAACTTGACAAACATTTTCTTACATGGAAAAACTAACCTGTCAAAACAAGGACTTTTTAAAATTTACAAACATGAAGTTAAATCATCTCCTTTAACTTAGGACTGACCAGCTGTGCCTGCTTTGCTCATTCTTAGCAGTCTGCCAAATATTCATACTTGTGGTAAAAAAATTCAGTTAAGATTATGAATAGTTACCTTGGCATAATATAGACAAATTTTCATCTTATTAAAAAAAGAATACTCCAAAATTCTATGTTAATAGACTGTAACAACATTTCAAACTCTGGACATTCTAGATGAGGAGATTAAGAAAATGATCAAACAATTAAGTTTATGTTCCATGAAGAAATTTTTAAATATCAATTTACATGAGACCAATATCTAACATTAAACATATTTCCTTTCTCACCATCATAATCAAACAGGTGATGAATGAAGTTTTCCCCCAAATTTATCACCTTTACTCTAGGAAATAGTTTAAAATTTTAGAGAGGTTATACATGCCAACTGTGTAAATTTCAAAATTCAGGTCAATTGTCCTAAACTCTAAAAACAACAAGGGCACCTCCAACTCAATATTTACAAAACTGAACTAAACACCTTTATCAAATCCAATTCTATCACCCCCCTACACCAATGGTGCTCCTCCTTCCTATATTTTCTAACTCAGAGAAGCACACCATTCAAACCATCTCCCAAGAATCATACTGCTTTTTTAATCCTTCATAACTCCTTGTTGCTTACATGTGTTATAGTCATTCTAAAATATTCACAGGTTCCTATAAAATCTTCCTTTGACCTGGAAAAATCATCCCTACTCTAACCCATCTGGTAAACTCTTACTCTTTCTTCAAGACTCATGTCAATGATCACCTTCTCAGTCAAAATCTTGCTACTCTCTAAGAGTTGAGTAGTTGTTCCTCTGCCTTCCTGCTCTTACAGGAACCTGTGCATATCTGTTGTATTAAAAAATACCTAATACATTGGGCTTTACTTGTTTGCTTGTTTCCTTCAAATAACTGATCTCCTTACAGGCGCAGTTTTTGCCTTAGCCATTACTCAAATCCTCATTGACAAGAAGTGCTTAGCAACTAGAATGGTCAACAAATAGTTTGTTGAACTGGCTGACTTATTTATAGGTGAACTGGGTTTTGGTTTTCCTCTGTTCAGTCACTTAAATCTCCAGGATTAAAAAAAAAAACAACAACAACACACAGGAAAAACTAAAAATGGCACTTCTAATCTTCCACTACTACTTCTGAAGTCTATGTGGTTCATTAAACTTCCATTTGCCTCAAAATCAACTTCAGTCCTTACCAGTAAGATAACACTACACACCATTCCTACTCCTTAATTAATCTTAAATACTCAAGGTGAAACTTTTTACACATGTTCAAAGCAGTTTTACTATGTCAACCTTTGTCAACTACAAAATGTTTAAGAGAATAAAATTTTTAAAAATAAAATTTCTATCAGAGTGACAAGTTATTTTATTAAAAATCAGAATTCTAGTTTCTAACCTTAAATGTTTTAGTTCCTATGCCTCGATGAATTTTTGGGAATGATTTAATGTAAGATTCATGACCCGACAGTAAGACTTCTAACAAGGAGGTCTGATCTTTACTGAAAAAGATAATCCAACTTCAGTCCTCATAGCAAGGAAGTACTATTTCAGAAAGTCCCCAGATTCCCAGATGTGCCGATAAACACCAAACACTGAAAAAATGGAAGGGGAATTTTATTCACTTTTTCCTCCATCCATTTGAAGTAACAACATTTGCATGTTTACTGCTCCACAATAGAATAAATAGAAGTGTTAAGAAATGTCAACAAAATTGTTACATAATAAACTATCCAAAATGAACTCTTCATGCAGGACATAGATAGTTCCAAAATTAAAATCAATAAAAAGTTAATAAAAAAATCCAGGGACTTATAAAAAACAATTCAAGATAGTTTACTATGTATGTCAAGTAAATGCTATTACAACAAAGCCACAGCTATTTGTGGAAACAATTTCTAAAAGCTTATTTAAGCATTAAATGGTTGTGTGTCATTTTGTAAAGAAGAGAAAAATTACAGAAAAAGGAAATAGAAATGCTATAGGAATAGCTCATGATATGAGTTATGTTATCAGTGATTTTCTCTTTTTTTTTGCACTTTAAAACAACAGGTTTATTAGGAAAAGTGGATGGAAAAAAGAGGTACAGGTATAGACACAGGTGGCCATAGAGTGGCTGCTGCAGCTGTTGCTGCTTTTGAAAAGAAATGGCTTGTTAAGAGACATGCCTGCATAGACACAGGTGGACAGTCTTGGGACAAGAACTGCAGTTATCAGAAATTTTCTATGAAGGAATTTGAAAATGCAGGGGACACATCTGGTATAGTATGCTTGTAGAGGACTCACACTAAGGGCATTCTTCTACTACCTCTGCCAGCAGATGAGAGGTTTTAGAGAATGCATACTAATTCCCCAGCTGTTCACATGCATATAAACAGCTGTTGCTGTTACTGCCTAACACTTCTGGTAGTCTGTCAGCACCTCTAATCTCTGCCAGATCAAAGAAGCCACCCAACTCAGACCTCTGCTGCGCTTCCAAGGAAAGAATTTCTGATCTAGGGACTGGGTGGGACTGGGAGTCAGACTGTTGGCTGCATGTTCGTGGGTCTATCAGCTGCTGAGCCTTTGTTGCTAAAAAAACAAACTTAACAAAATATCCCTGTACAGAAATTTTGTGAAATCATAAGAGCATTCAAGAATTCTATTCTATTTTACAGAAGTTTTAAGAACCCATCTATTTTTAAAGTAAGCACAGAATAGACAATCGAAGAAACTAAGGAAAATGAAAATAAAAATTTAATAAAGGAATGTATCAGGAACCTAAAGGGTTTCATGTTTTTATATGATACTGTTTCTGCAACTATGAAACACTAAAGAGCCATTTCATATCTCAAAATAAGTAAAATCTTACAGCAAACTTTTATAAATTTTTATGCTACTTCTTTGAGTGATTCAAAGTCCTATGTTTTTTAACTTGTTAAGCAAAAGTATAGCTAAACAGTGTTACAATTCTGTATTTTTAGTTACCAGAAGGAGAAGCAAATATGTTAACTAAATATGTCAAACTAATTCAAAACATTTTGAGATCCCATTTTCAAAACTGTACCGGTATATTTCTTATATTAGAAACAAGCATATTTATTATTAATCAAGCATAGAATCAATACTTAATATTTATTATTAATAACTAATTTAGTAGTAGTAGTAGTAGTAAAAGTTTTTACAAGTACCTTGATCTTTGTGTTTCTAAAATTTTTCCCAGTCCATTTATTGATCTAAAATATATTAAAAATGAGGAAGAAAAGGCCAAAGAATATATGTTAAGCTTTTTAAAAAAGCACATAAGGCACATTATTTCTAAAACAGGAAGTAGGCATACACAAATATATCAGAAGTAAAAAGAAAAACATTTTAAATAGTTTACTCTTTCTTTCAAATCATACATAGGGTGTAGTTCACTTAGAAATTAAAACATAACATATAAAAATTTACTAGACAACTGACAAACTAGGGGTTACTTTGTGATTTATAAAAAGATCCTTCACTTTGGAAAAAACAATTTAAAGTAGCCAGGAATTCTAATTTTCTTAAAATGAGTAGTAAAACTTTTACTGATACCCAATTTATCCCCAGCACATGTTGTAAAAATTGTGGAGACACTATTACATTTTTTAATAGTAAAGTCAGACTATGTTACTATTAAAATAAGACCAAATACAAAAAAGAATTTTTTTCTTCCATAATCATTAATCACCACAGCCAAATCTCTTAATAAACCTTACCTTTTTTATTCAATTTATAATACATACTGTGTGAACTGATAGCAGAAGTTATAAATACTATAAAAGATCATTTCAAGCCATCACACACAAGATACTATACCCATTAAATATGACTAATAATAAAAGTTATTGAATATTTCTTTGCATTATGCCATTAAGTAGTTTAGGTCTTATAAAACAATTCAAAACAAAGTCCCTGAACTCTAGCTTCACTTGAAAAATCCACACAACTACTGAATCATTGAACTTATATTTAAGCCTCAGTCATGGACTCTGAAGACATTAAAGCAAGCTCAGGCATGGCTAGCTGACAGTTAAGGAAGACATAAAGTCAATGAGAATTCAGGGAAATGAATTCAGGGACAAGTGAGTCCTCCTGAGTAGGAAAGACTTCACAGAGGAGGTTGGAAATGTTGGGAAAGAAAAAAATGTTGGGAAGTAGGTTCTAGAGAAGGATAAAATTACTGAGGAAAAAAACCAAAACAGATAATTAAGGAATTCAAGGATTTCAGAGTAGGAACACATCATGAGTAAAGAAAAGATTTGGCAAGACACATCAATGGGGAAGTTAGTAAATCATTCTAAGTAAAGTTAGGGAAGTTTCACACTGGCAAAGAGTCAAAGAGAAAAGAGGAAAAGGATAGATAGAGAAGACCTTATCGGTCTATCAATTTTTAATTATATTCCATAAGCAATAGGGAATATTACATATTATTATTTATGTGACCACCAATTAGGCAACAAGTCGTCTATGATTTCCTAATACTATTTGAAGTAGGTAAGCCTTGAACCTTAATTTTCTATATGTAAAGATATTTGTGTACAACAGTTCCCATCTACTGGAGATATATTCCAAGACCCCCAGTGAATGCCTCAAGCTGTGGATACTATTAAACCCTATATATACTATGTTTTTTCCTATATCTACACACCTATGATGAAGCTTAATTAATAAACCAGGCAAAGCAAAAGTGGAAAGAAAATCAAGGAAAATGAAACAGGATAAGGACTACTACTTTGTAAGCTTTGGATTTGCAGGTACTGAACACATAATTTTGTACCTAATGTTTGTTCTTAATTTGTTTAAATCTTCTTCTGGAACCAAGTCTGTTTTATTGATGATGATGATATCTGCCAAAGCAACTTGCCTAAATTAGCAAACAAAGAACAAGTGTAAAAAGAGAAATGTTAAGAAATTAAAAACAGAAACACCTCATTCAGATCAAGCTGTAGTTATGAACACATTGTACTCTAAATGGTGATTTATTTCCAATGTTAGTATCCTTCATACAGTGAAAATGAATTGTATTCATCACTATGTAAATTGAGATTTCACAATTATTCATTCAAAAAATATTTACTAAGTACGCTCTTGCTTCTCTAGAGCTGCAAAAATAAACCTCAAAAAAGAAAACAATCAAGAGGATAATTTTCACTCATTAATTCTTTATAAAGAAGTTACATCAAATTCAAATATCAATATGGGTAGAAACAAGTCAGCTTGCTAAAACTGCCTTTTTAAAAGTTACCACATTTTTCAAAGAAAGAGAATAAATTTACCTAAATTAAAGTTTTTGAAAAACTACAATTCAGAAGACATGTCGGGATCAAGAACAAGTGTCTTTCTCATTACTACAAATACATATTATCTTTGTAAAATAGATTAACCACTAGAATATTTGCTACTAATTCAAGTGTTATATTACCTGAAGGTATACCTAATTATTTCAAAGAATGTAATTAAATTCTCAGAAATGGTTTAAAGTAAAATTTTATGTATTAGACCACTATAAATAGCTAGCTAGTAACAATTCAAATAACTATAGGACAAAGTTAACAAATTTTCTTTGCTAAGAGTTTTCTATTTCTAGGTTTATTTTTGGTTTTCATATTAATTTTGTTTCCTATTAGCAGGTAGTCAACATATACTTTAAGTATGAATACCTAGCAGCTTCATTGATAAGGCCATCAGGTTTTTCTTCTGCTAAATGCTAAAGAAAAACAAATTTTGGGGGAAAAAAAAAGAACATTATAGTTCAGATTTTAGACATTTTTTTATTTATAAAACTGTTCTTGTCCTATTCATTATAACTTACTGAAAAAAGAGACAGCCACTGAAATTATACTCTTAAAATTGAATATACTTCCCTCTGTTCCTATTCCCCATGCCTTACTCCCCATCCCAGAATCATACCTAATATGAACTCAGTACTGGGCCTTCACATTCTCCAAAAAAAAGAAAGTGTGGGCAAGATGCAGACTCAATTCTTGCCTAAAAGCAATTTATCATTTAGAAATCCACATTTAAGGGGCCTCCCTGGTGGCGCAAGGGGTTGAGCGCAGCGTTGTGAAGCTGTTCGCAGCCTCTGCAGTGCGAGTTCGATCCCAGGCCAGGGAGTTATCCACATGGCGCAGCAGACCTCTCCTGCCTCGTCTGCTGCTCCCCTCAGCAGTGTCCTTCGGTCAGTCTGCCTGTTCTGTTCCCAACTCTGTTTCTGGTGAATCCTCTCATCTCCCACACCTCTGGCCTGTACCCCAGCTCTTATAATCACAAATAAATAAATCTTGGGAAAAAAAAAAAGTTCTTTCAAAAAAAAAAAAAAAGAAATCCACATTTAAGTGATGAGGTCTCTCAGTGCAACTGTTCATTTTGTTGGTCTCTCCAGAGTCAAGCTGGGTCCAAAACAATATTAGGGGCCCATGAAGTTGTCTGCATCTCTCTGGAGCAGTTATTTTTCCATAAACCTATTTACATCCTTAAAAAGTCATCAAGGCCATAAAATTCATCTCTGGGGCCTCCCCCGGGTGGCACAGCAGTTGAGCGCTGGGTTGCGAAGCTGCCTGCAGCCTCTGCAGCACCGGTTTGATCCCCGGCTGCTCCCCAGCTACCGGAGGAGGGTTCCACATGGCGCGCAGACCTCTCCTGCCGCCTGCTGCTCCCCTCAGCAGTATACTTCGGTCTTTCTGCCTGCTCTGCTCCCCGCTCTGGCTCTGATGAATTCTCTCACCCTGCCGCACTTCTGACTGTACCCAGTGCTTGTATAAATAAATAAATAAATCTTTAAAAAAAAAATTCATCTCTGAAAAATCATATTTCCCCTTCATTACCTTAACCTTCAACAGATGTTCCCTCTCACAATTATAAGCTGCCTGTTAAGATATACAGACTAGTACAGTATTCTTTGTATCTGAGTCAAACTTCACAAATTATTATATCTTTTCATACATTGTTTCATATATTAGCCTCTGTAACTACTGTGGGAAATGGGCATTTTCCTCATTTTACAAAGGAGAAACTAAATCTAACAATTCACTATAAGAGGATATCCTATTATAGGGCTATTTATTTAGTTATTAAAATTTATTTATGCATACAAGAGCTGGGGTGTAGGCCAGAGGTAGGGAGGGGGGTAAGAAGATACACCAGAGACAGTGGGGAGCAGAACAGGTAGATCCACTGAAATACATTGCTGAGGGGAGCAGTGGGAGAGACAGGAGAGGTCTGCTGCACTTGTAGGTTAGCTCCCTAGCTGGGGATCAAACTCAGGCCACAGTAGCTGGTGATAGCTTGATAGCGCCAAGACTTACACCCCTGCACCATCAGGGAGGCCCTCTAAGGGCTATCTTTAAAAAACTAAAAATGTGCTCAATAGCAATAAAATGAACACACTTTTTCTTTTTCAAGTCCTATAAAGATTTAAATAATCCTTTTTTGTTACATAAAATAAGGTCTATATACAGTGTTACACAAATGGTATCACATGAGCACAAGATTACCTAAGAATTATATTCAAGGTTATTTCACAAAACCACTTTCACAATTCACAGGGAGGCAGATTATTACAATATTTGGACAGTTTGAAACCTAAGAGTTAACTGGTAATAACTTTATTTAATTCTATAGGGAAAAAAATAGTTGTTGTTCTAAATATTGCTAAATTCCATTTTAGGGGAACAGGACTAAACTACAACTATTGTAATGATATTGATTTCCACTTCAGGAACAATTCTATAATTCAACAGCAAATCCACTCTGAAATTATGGAAGTCACAATACTTGAAGAAAATCCTATCAAAACTTGTTCTTGCCAAAAGACCAAGTTAACTATCTTTGCTAATTAATCTTGGCCCAAAGTTAAAGCAAATCCTATTGTTATGTCCTAATAAAAATAAGGCTGATACAATCCCTGGCATAGCTCTTGGCACCCAAGCTCAATAAATATTTGTTAAAATGAAATTTTTAACATCCTCTATTTGTAAAATAGATACATGGAGGTTTTAACATGCAAAATTCTACATAGCATGCAGCAACAACTCCCCTTCTATTCAGGAGTATATCAACTTAACAAAGATATATTTGTAGCAAGCCACCTGTATCTGAATGATCCTGTAATACTGAAGTTCTTTTAAAAATTATAAATATTTTTCAAAATATTATAATGTACATCAAGTATGGCAAGAAAATTAGAGATTTGTTTCTGAATTTCCATACCTAAACGGAACTAATAAAAATAGTAGTTTCACAAAGAAATTCATATTACTTAAAACTCTTCCACAAAGCTAACTGGGGATAGATTAATATTTTACCACCTACAGAAAACCAAGAAGTGTCAATTATAAAAGCATGTTAAAATACCCTAAAGTAAAAACTTGCCAATATATACAACTCTATTAAGACTATATGTAGTAACCATGTATAATTACAACAGAAGAGATAAATGCCCTGTTTCGTGCCCATGTGGAGCTATACAAACAGAGAAATAATAAATGCAACTAATATTTTCCTCTAGACATCAGTTCAGCATTTCCCTTATGAAATTTCCAGCCTCCCTAAGCCAACTTTGCAAAAAGACTAAAATCAAGGTGAGATATGAAAATTTTTTTACATTCTTTCTGTTTAGAAACTTTTTCAAAATTATTTACACACACACACACACCTCCCCCCCCCCCCCCCCCCCCACGGATTTCTCTGTCTTAAGATCTGTGCTTAAAGATTGTGGCTTTTGCTTGTAAATCAAAAGAGAGAAAAATAACTTCAGTTACTAATTAATTCAACACATTCAAAATGTTAAGGTTCAACCCTCCGATTTAGCATAACACAAGAAATAACACCATTATAAACATAACTTCAGTAAAGGTTATATATAGGGTGTCCTTTCTACAGAAACAAAAACTAACTGCGCCAAAATAAAAGAACAACACTGTTGTTGACTGAAGTGGAAATAAATCTCGTGTCAAAATGCCAGATGTCATTTAAAAACATAAGCTATTTCTTTTCCAATATACAAGTTATAGATCTAACACTAGTTTAGCTTAAAAAGAAAGTATTGCATAATGCCAGTCTATTTATTTTTCTGGTCTTTTTCAAGCCAAACTCTTCTGACTCAATTGTTTCAACAGCTTGTGCAATATAACAGAAGAACCAAAATGAAACCTCTCACTTGACCTTTTTTGTGTAACTTCATTCATTGAATCTATTGCATTAAATACTGTCACATTTGTAGAACTGAAAAGAACAACGTCAGTAGCCTGGGTGTCAAGTCTTGAGAATAGAGAGCTGTCATTTGAAGTTGTCCAATTCTTCGCCCATGATTAAAAAATGAATATTTCAGATCAATGGGTGACAATCCCATTAGAGTGATAGCCCATGATATCAATTACCACTTCAGTTTCAATTTGGCTGGCTGGCCACGGGGTACCATTTCTCAGCTTTATTTGTGATGGGCTGGCTCTGTGAAGCATGACACCCTTAAATTGCTGCCCATTATCCAAGTGTCATTACTTGAACTGCCTCAGAATTCTCCAAATCACAAGCAGCTACTGAGGTCAAGCTTTGCAACCAGAGGAATTGGACAAGTTGGCAAATTCTTTATATAAAGGAAAAGTTATTTATCTGGCATCTGACTTAGAAAATCTAAAGTTTCCATTATCCTGACAGTATGTCAGTTTTTGTGTAGGTATATTGATTTAATAATTGAAGAGGTTTTATCAAGGTGTGTGGGGGGGGTTAAACATTTACGGTGTTTGCATTATTCAAAATGTTGCTTTGTTTTCATTTTGGCTTCTATCACACAGATAATAGGTTCTATTTAACTAATCGCCACACTCAAACATACACATAAATTTATTTCTATACATATATAGATAGAGTTTGACTTCTGGTATGGCACTTTAAATCTGCCAAGAAAGCAAAAACAAATGAAATGTTATCTATCTCATCGATATTCCACAGTTAGTAATAAATTTATATAGGCAATTAATTCAAACATGCCTATAATAAACATTCAAAATAAAAAATTTGACTTTTTTTCTACCTCTGGAAACATTTTGCTAGAAATGCCATGATTTCTGAACAGTCATTGGATTTTTTCCTGAATAAAGTTGTAATTGGGATTTTTTTTTGATTCTTCATACTATCAAAAAAATTGGACTTAATAATCTAAAATGGAGTTATCTCCAAACTTCTCAAATGAGGATGCTCTAACCCTAAGTGAACTGAGGGTACAGTCATGGGGTACTGAGGCAGCCATTTGACAAGCCTTTCATATATTCTAAGTATGCTTGAGAGATAGTGGGTAATGGGATAATTTCATCCTCTTCTGCGTTTACTAAAATTTCACTTAGAAATAATAGTAAGAAACACTATTTCACTGTAGGCAATATGCTTTTAAAGCTCTTATTAAATGTATTTTATAAACTGAAGTTCATATAAGTGCATTTAGGGACCTTGGCAGTTACAAAAACACTCACAGAAGGATGCCTTTAATGGGGTTTCCCTTCTTTATAATGCTATGCATGTACCTAGATTTCTTCAAAAATAAGATAAAGCAGCAATTTTTAAAAGCTCAGTTACCTCTAGTTTGTGTCTGATAGCAGTTTAACAATAACAACAAAAAGCTCTAATATACTTTATCAATCTCAGTTTCCTCTACAAACAAAAACCAATATTGGGGTAAGGAGTTACACATACCCAAACTGAATCCTGTCTCCATCTTATTACAACTATTACATTTCCAATTTTTATACACACACATTTATTATTCAGGATACTTTATAAAACCAGTTTTTGTTAATGAAAATTTCAAACAAACACAAACATAGAGAAAATGTTATCATCAATCTCCATATACCCAGCTTTAAGAACTCACAGCAATTTATCTACTTACTTTTAATCCATATTTTGAATCCACTACAGTTATGATACCTACAAAAGAAATAAACTGTTAAATCACTTATACTTGAGAATGAAAATGAAACTAATCCATTTCAGTTCACAAATGATACTCAGAAAAACAAAGTATTATTTTTTTCTCTTGCCAACACTGCCATTAAATTCAACTCCACTATTAAGTAGATGAATTTCAAAAAGGTACTGAAAGCATAATACTATTTTTAAGGCACTAGAGAGATTTAAAAGTTTTAAATTATATAAACAAATAAACATTTAAAAAGCTTACACTCCAAAATATAAGGCAAATTTCATTTTATATAGCAGAATGTGATAAATTACACAATACATAGATAGGTTAATTATTGTTTATTTTCACAAAATCAAAATCAAGACCTTTCTTAATATTTAAATTACTGCTTAATAAATCTGCCATTTTAGAATATCTTACATCTTTTACCAAGTCTACTTACACAAATGTTTTATGTAGCATGTACCTAAGCTTCCAACTGATCATTTAACTTAGCAATCTCTGAATTTATATGCTAAATAAATTTTTCAGAGTATCAGCAGAATGAGTTCAATGAGGCCTAAGGAATTCAACCAGCTATAATAATGGAGTTCAACCTCAATGATTTAATTCTCATCCCTCAGTTTATGAAAGACCTGGCCTTAAAGAAAGGTAGAGGCTGGGGGAAGGAGGCAACTTGGTTGCTTAACTAAGAAAGTATTTAATATGTCTTTTTTTTTTTTTTAAAGATTTATTTATTTATTTTATTATTATTTTTTTTTATACAAGCACTGGGTACAGTCAGAAGCGCGGGAGGGTGAGAGAATTCACCAGAGCCAGAGCGGGGAGCAGAGCAGGCAGAAGGACCGAAGTACACTGCTGAGGGGAGCAGCAGGCGGCAGGAGAGGTCTGCGCGCCATGCGGGACCCTCCTCCGGTGGCCGGGGAGCAGCCGGGGAGCGAACCGGCGCCGCAGAGGCTGCGGGCAGCTTCGCAACCCGGCGCTCAACCGCTGCGCCAATTTAATATGTCTTTAATGAAGTCTATGAATAAAATTTCCCAAAAGTGTTAAGGTAAATAAAGATGGAGGGATGTGCTTAATTCTTTTCTTCAAGGAAACTGCAAACAGAAATATGATCCTCATATTGTCTGGCTAATTTAAAATAAAAGCTATAACATTATATCAAGTGCATAAAATCAAATAATAGAGAATATAAGAAATCTACATATTTTAAAAGGAAAACCTTAGTGGAAGCACTAAATTAGGATTAAAATTTGACATTTAGCACTATGACTGTTTGGGGCCTTTGGATCAATATGAACAAAGATTTCATCATGAAACTATACAGATATTAAAAGAGTTATGCAAGGAATTAGAATTATAACATGAACAAAAGTGATCTTAACTATAAAAATAAAATTTTACTTGAAAACCAAAGAAAATTCATTTTGTAACTTACCATCAAGATAAATATCCATCCCTAATTCAGCATCAACCCAAAACATAGAAGCCACAGCACCTTAAAATATAAAATATTCAAGTAAAAAATTTCTTCATACTGAAAACAAAATTTTATCCATGTTTTAATATGTCTCAATAGAATAAGTAGCAAACACTTATATAAATTAAATATGAGTTCTTAATCCTCTTATGGAATTAGTGACAGAATCTGTAACTATACCCATTTCCTCCTTTCTCTGCTTTTTCTCAAAAAATAAACAGATTAACTCATCCTATGCAAACCCAATAGTAAGTTTCTGCCAAAAATAAAATAATTTACCAACATAAATTATCAACTAATTTAGGCAATATGTTTGTATGCACACAGGACTTATTTTTATTTTCTCTCTTCTTAGTAATCATATGGCTCACAAATAATGAATTATGGCTCTAAAGGAAAGCAAAACAAAAGAGATAATTCCAAAATTACATGTCTAAATTTTTTAAAAAACTTTCTTGTAAGTTTTATAATAGAAAAAGAATAAAAAGTATAATTATGCTCTATGGCATTACACTATTTAGTGCTGATATAAAATTTGGGTCTGAGTAAAAGTAATGTCCAAATCAGAAATTAGAACTTGTTCTTAACAGATACTGGCTAGGACCAAACCAGACATCCTGATTAGTATGCCACCACACAAGTGAAAGAAAACTGACAGGAAAAAAAAAAGCATTTGATTTTTCAAACCATCACAGGTCCAGTTAGTGACAGGGCTGTCTAAAAGAATGAGTATTAGGGAAAAACAAGGATAACTGAACTCATTCCAATGTCTGAAGCTGTCCACCAACCCTGACGAGATGTGGTCCCCGAAGCATCACTCTGTGTCAACAATGAAATACCTGTCAGCTGTTTACAGTGATTACTCATGCAAGATATAGCAAGGGCCACAAGATCTAATGGTTTCCTGATACCTATTGATTTTTTTCCCAAAAACTTAATAGTTTTCCAATTTGACTGAAATAGGATTTGTGAGTAACAGGGGCTGAATCAATGCCTGTCCTTTTCAAGGAAATTACTTTACCATGACAATTATTTAGCTTAGAACTAGAGAGTGTCAGTCTCCTAAACGGGAAACAACTGAATTGCCAATAAGAATTTTCCTCACTTACTTAGCTAACAACATGATTTTAATTAACGAAGGAGAAAAAAGTAATTCCAGTGAGCATATCATCAGTTTGAACAAAAATAAATCATTTTAAAAGGTTTTTTAAATTTATTTTAAATAAATCATTAAAAATTCCTAACATTGTACATAGAGCTATTTTCTTGGTTTTAACGTTACAGATTACTATTCAGATAAGCAGCTTTTAAGTACTACAATTAACTTTTTTGCCTATTAATAAGTTTAACTAAAAGAATATGTTATAGTTTTTATTCTAAATCTGATGTTGTCTTTGGTATAACAACAAACCACACAAGAAAGAACTATTTAAAATTTGGATGTAGGAGTAGAGATAAGAGAATGAGGTTAATCACTGGCTTTCAACCCAGGATGATTTTTTTACCCAGGAAATATTTGGCAACGTCTGGAGGTATTTTAAGTTTTTTCAACCAGGGATGAAACAAACTATGCATATGTATCATAGCTCATATGAAACAAAAAAAAGATAATGGGCAGGAAGCAAAGAAGTGAAATAAATAGGGCAGACAACTGGCTTAGAACCAAATCTGGAAATAAGCATAATCAAGAATACAAAAATAAATTTCTGGGGTTTCATCATAAAAAGAGAACATATAGCCAACAAAACCTTAATAAAAACAAGCTCAAAAGCAAGATAAAGCAGAATAATATGAAAAGCAAGATAAAGCAGAATAATATGAAAAAGCCTTTCTTTCTGTCAGTAATCTGTTTCCATCAGTTTTTCTGTATGTTGATGTTTTAAATGCATTAATTGGTTAAGTAGCTATTGTATTGGCTTTAAATTTATTTCTTGAGGATCCTAACTACTTTTTCATATTATTCAATAAATGCAGAGACAGAAGACAAATCAAAACAATTAAAATATGGAGAGCAAAAGAAAAGTCAAAATAAGAAAATTGGTGTCATAAAGAAGACCAAATAATTTGACAGAAAAGAAACTCTTTTTGGTAATGACTAGGGTAGGTCCCTAAATGAAGTACTAAATCTACAGATTAAGAAGTATATTGTAACTCAGGAAAAAATGATTATGAATGTCCTATAGATGTATCTTGGTTATATTACTGAACTTCAAAGATAAAAAAAAAATGTATAACCAGTTTTCATGAAAAAACTTATCACCTTCAAGAAAAATCAGATTTTTTCCACAGTGGTACTTACTGCCCAATATAATGACCATAGAGTTCTAATGAAAGTTTTCCCTAAGGATATCACCTCCTGCTAAGCTGTTTTTTCAGGAATTAAAATAGGCAAAGCTGGCCAATCAAAAAATACTAAGATATCTTGGAACAGTATTTGCAAAGTTCTGAGGGAGAAGAGATTGTAACCTAGAAATTTTATACCTAGCCAAATATTCTTCAAATATAAAAATAAAAGACATATATTTTCAAGTGGTATGGTATGTAAGAATTCAAGGAAGATAGTATTTATAGCTTGAAAATATTACCTGATCCTAAAATTCTATCAATCAAGAAACTGGTCAACTCAGGAAACAGAGATGTTACCATATTGGTAATAAGCATCAAAAATATTTAAATATAGAGGCAGAACTTTATAAACAAATTATCACAGCACATAAATGTTAGAAACCTTGACAACATAGCAAAGAACAATCAATGAAAACCAGGAGATGGGACAAAGTGGAAGAGTATTAATTCCCTCATCTTTTATTCTAGAGATATCAATAGACAATACTATGATAATTAAAATGTAAGATTTTTTTAAAAATAACATGTTCAATTTGTTTGTTCTTTATATATTTTTCTAATACATATCTCCTGCATTGAAAAGCATTTGTTTGATATTCAGTAATTCCTTCACTTATTTTTCAAGTTTTCTTTTTTTTTTAGATTCAAGTATAAATAAATCATTAAAAATAACCTAGGTATTTACCCAAAGGACACAGAAACATCAATTCCAAAGAACACCTGCACCCCTATGTTTATAGCAGCACTATTTACAATAGCTAAGCTTTGGAAACAACCCAAATGCTCAAAAATAGATGACTGGATCAAGAAGATGTGGTACATATACACAATGGAATATTACTCAGCCTTCAAAAAAGATAAACACATGCAATTTGCAGCAACATGGATGGAGCTAGAAGGGATCATGCTCCGCAAAATAAGCCAGAAAGAAAAAGAAAAATACTGGATGGTCTCACTCATGGCAGGAATCTAGAAAACTTAAATAAGGGACCAGGAAAAAGAATAATTTTAAGAAAGAAAGTATCAAAATCGTCAAACAACTACGAACCAGAGACACTCTATGGCAGGTGGGGGGCAGGGAAAGGAGGGATTGAAGTCAAAATAAGGGGGTTGTAATTGTATGGGGAATATAAAAATAAAATTTAAATTAAAAAAAAACACAAAGAATATGATCCAATTTTTATAAAATTGTTTTTGTATACTTATACAGCTTTTTGGAGTACACAAAGCAGGGTTTACTAAACTGACAACTATACAAGAATCACCTGGAGAGCTTCTTAAACAGATTGCTAGGTACCACCACCCATAAGAGATTCTGATTCAACAGATCTAAGATGGGGCCCAAGAATCTGCATTTTCACAAGAACCTGACTGCTTCTGTCATTTACCATGCCACATCAAGTAGTACTCACTGTAATGAAATTACCTGATTGTGTTACATCATAGTGTAATATAGGGTTACTTTTCTTCTTTGCATTTTCTTAGGTATTACTTAAAATTTTTTTAAATGATTATTCCATTTTTATCCAAACTATAGGATCATTGTTCCCCAGAGAGTTAGAAACAAGAAACATGGATGCACTAATACCTACAATTTCTAAAAAAGCTTTCTCTGAGATCTTTATTGAACTTTTGTTAATTAATGTGAAAAGTTGAACCATAGTTCATTAATCTCATCTATTTTGGAAAAAAAAGTAACAAGACTTTTTCTCTATAAAGTGGTTCCAAAGAAAGAAACTGCTCTCTCAAAAAGATGCATACTTTCTGCATTTTACCAGATTCAACTTAACATTGAACACCAGGCCAAGTCCTATGATCAGTCAGAGCTACTGATATGAAAATTCCATGCCTATAATAAGAACTAAAATACCACCAACTCAACACTAATTTGAAAACATGGCAATAATGATATTGTAATACTTTGAAGAACCATAACTACTGACTACATTTATACCTTCAGAATTCACCAATACTTGTTTTAAACAACTACGACTTTTTAGATAAATTATTCTCAAACAATATTTCAATAGCCCAATGCCATAAACTCAGATCAAAGAAGAAAAAAATAGTATGAGTAGAGTAACAGAATAAACAGTAAATGTTTTGCAAACTAGGAATAAAGAGGTCACACAAAAGTTATTTGGAGAAAATAGATCTTATTATTAGAGTTAAAACTCTGGTATGAAGGTAACAGTAAAACATTGTTAAATATAGGCCAAATCTGTGTCATATTTAGTAGTTTAGACGTTCCATAATTCAACACCAGGAAAAAGGTCTAGTAGGCTTGATTTAACTGTGTACCTGAGGACAGCATTTATACATAATGTTATTTCAGGCTCAGTAGTAGAAAAACAAAATACTAGCAATTTAAAGGGAACAAGTATTGCTGGGAACAGAGTTCAAAATCCTTTAACTCTCTCTTAATGACTCTAAGAAGCTAGCTTAGAAAATAAAGAAAATAAGATCTCTTTGGAGTATAACCAATCAAATATATACTTAGAAATAGCAAGTCTGTTTTTCCTAAATTTCCATTCAGGAAATTTAACAATTTCTTGTTAACACTAAACACCCAAATAGTCCAAGTCCTATCATCAGTCAGATGTGTCTACAGGAAATGTATGAAATATACGAAAAATTTAAGTTTTTTGTTCTTACCACTAAACCAAATCTATGAATAACACTTAAAATTTTGTTAAGAGCTTAAACTACTTTTATCATAATTCATCTGGCAAAGAAACATAACCCAAATTTTTTCTCTTTTGAGCTAAAAAAATTATTTTAATCTAAATCAAAGCATTAATACTCATTTTAATTATTACTCCAATACATTTATCTTAAAATATTTCACAACTATATTTAGTTATCAACAATGTCATTTCTTACCAGGATCTGCTAATCCAGTGGTCTCTAACAAGATGTAATCAAATTTCCCCTTCTTCTCCATCAAATTTTCAATTGCTCTAAGCCCATTGTCCCTAGAAAATACCAAAATACAATGTATAGTGAATAGTAAAGTACTCTTATAAACATTTTAAAATATATTCAGTAACCTGAGACAAAAATATCTTTAGGCATTTGAAAATTTACCTCCTTGCCAAACCTCTAAAAATATGTCTACCTATTATTTACCACTATAGAGAAAAAAATATGTGCTTAATATATTGATAAGTAAAAAGAAATCACATACATGAGTTAATAATTTTATTAAAAGTAGAGGTAATTTCAATATAGCTGACCAAAACAAGTCAGAATCTGTTACTTCTATAGGTTTATGAAATTACATCCAAAACAATGATAAAACTTATAAATTACAGTAGTTTTAAAAGCTAAAGGTATATTACCTTTTAATTTAAATACCTTTTAATTCCATTCTGAATTAGGATATCAGACTTCAATCTCCTTTTTCTTTATAATATTTAGAACAAATACTTAATGGGTTGCATTTTGGATGTTCAAGAAAATGTTATGATTTTAGCCTTGTTAATTACATATGACTGACTCAAAGTTAATTACATGATAAGGTAAATGGAGCAGAAGAAATTCAATTCACTAGAATATACAAAATCAACAAAATCACTAGAATATACAAAATGAATTTTCCTAATTCATTCAACATATGTCTGAGTGACTACTATGTGTCAGGTACCTTTCTAAGATTCATTGCATATTAGTGATGAAATAGACACTTTCCTTGGAAACTTAATCGTATAGTGGAATATAATGTAAGGTATTTTTCCTATTTTAAAAATAAATTATTTTTGTTTTTAAAGGTTGAATACTTGGAAATAAGACCAATGACTTATTAAATTCAAAATATTCCTTTTTATACATGAAATGAAACTTATAAGCACCACAAAGATTATTAATTAAACCCTGACATAAAAAACAAAAGAACCAAAACATTAAAACAGATAGAAAAATAATTAAGATAGCAAAGAAAAAAACCACTTTACTAAATTGTATCTTAATAAGTCTATTATCTACTAGAAAACACAATGAAGCAGACCGTAAATTCAGTTAAACTGCACAAGAAAGGCAAAGCTGGAAATATCATCAATAAACATTTAGAGTAAACCAACAAGCACAAATTCTTACTTTACTGAACAGCAGAGGCAACCATTTCTAAGTTCCAGCCATTCTTCATAGAGTTCACCACCTTGGCTGACAGCTAAGGATTTCTCCACTGCACTTCCTAGAGTAATTAACAAGAAGCACTTTTTATTTTATTTCACTTTTTTTAAAGATTTATCTATTCATGCATACAAGAACTGGGGTACAGGTCAGAGGTGCAGTGGTTGAAAGGATTCACCAGAGACAGAGCTGGGAACAGAACAGGCAGACCTACTGAAACACACTGCTGAGGGGAGCAGTGGGCAAAACAGGAGAGGACTGCTGCACCATGTGGGTAGCTCCCTGGCACAGGGGATTAAATTGGTGCTGCAGAGACTGCAGACAGCTTCACAGTGCTGTGCCCAACCCCTTGCACAAACAGGGAGGCTCAGAAGCACTTTTTAGATTATGTTCACTAATTAACCAAAAACACAGATAAGGGTACTCAATAACAAAGCAGATTTCAAAGCAGAAGATATATTTAATAACTTAAATTCTTTCATTACACTTAGAGTCTCAATAATTTATAGTGTTCTAGCTTTAGTTTTTATATCTAAAAGACTTACTCCCCTAAAAAAGTAAATCCAAAACGAAAGAATTATCCCTCTTAACTCTCTAGGTCTCTTACTTGTCCACTTCCATTTCCTAATAAATTAGCTATATTTTATTAAAGGCAATCTTTAATGGTCAATTTTCTAGATAGATTAGTTTGTCTTACAATTGGTTTTTCTATGCCTTAAGCTTTAAGGGATTTTTTTACCTATTATTTTTCTTTCCATTCTTCCTCTAAATTTGTTTTTATTTCTATTTAATAGACTGTTCAGTATTCCCAGTATGAGTAAAAACCCCTAGTTTATTTTGAGGAAGTTTTTTTTGGCCAAGCTATTAATGTGCTCATTTAAAAATTAAATTTTAGTCAAATACACATAAATTCCCTAGCAATGTTTAACTTGAGAAGAACAAAGATATCTGAGATATTGTTATATAAAGAGTTTGTTATATAAAGAAGAGTTTAAATTAAAGAAATATATCAAAGAAATTAAAGAAATATATCAAAGCTAAGTAAGAATTCTAAATATCAAAGCATGACAAAATTAAAAAAAAGTTTCTCATTTACATACAATTTTTGTTTACATTGCATCTAGGTAATGAAAAAGAGCTATGAGAGGATTTCAGGCTGTAAACGGGATTGTTTTCTTGATTTATCTTGTTTGCATGTAGGAACACAACTAATTTTTGTAAATTGATTTTGTAACCTGTCATTTTACTGTTTTGGTTCACTGTTTCAATTAGTTGAGTTTCAGGGCTTTCTATGTATATTATCATGCAGTCTGCATTAGTGATAGTTTTACTCCATCTTTTCCAATTTGGAAGCCTTTTATATCATTCTCTTGCCTAATTACCCTAGATAGGAACTCTAATACTATGTTAAAGAGCAGTGGTAAAAGTGGACCTCCTTGCCTCGTACCAGATTTTGGAGAAAAAGCTTTTAGTTTTTCACCATTGAGTATGATGTTGGCTGTAGGTCTGCCATACATGGACATTATTATGTAAAGCTATGTCACACTTATCACCACTTCTTTTAGGTTTTTATCATAAATGGATGCTGCATCTTATAAAATACTTTTTCTTCTTCTACTGATATGATCATAATGATTTTTACCTTTCCTTTTCTTGATGTGGTTAATTACAATGACTGATTTTCAGATGTTGAACCATCCTTGCATCCCTGGAATAAGTGCCACTGGGTCATGATGTATGATCTTTTTACTACATTGTTGAATTGGGTTTGCTAAGATTTTGTTGAGGATATTTGCATCTGTATTCATCAGGGATACTTGGTTTGTAATTTTCTTTTTTTGTGATGTCTTTGTCTGTTTTTGGTATCAGAGCAGAATTAAATGCCTAGGAGCAAACTTAACAAAGATGGTGAAGGACTTATACAATGAAAAGAAACAGAAGATATTGCTAAATTAAAAAAAAAAGCAAAATGGAAGACACAAAGAAATGGAAAGATATTCCCGGTTTGTGGATTGAACACTGTTAAAATGGTGATCATACCTAAAGCAATATATGGATTCAATGAAATTCTTATGAAAGTTTTAATGGAATTCTTCTAAGAAATAGAGCAAACAATACTGAAATTCATATGGACCAAAAGACCCCAAAAAGCCAAAGCAAACTGGACAAAAAAGTGACATCACAAACCAAGGTTTCAAAATATACTACAAAGCAACAGTAATCAAAAAAGTATGGTACCTGAATAAAAATAGACACACCGACCAGTGAATTGAGAGCCTAGAAATAAACTTACACTTATTTGGACAGTTAATCTCAACAAATGAGCGAAGTGTATAAATTGGATAAAGGAAATTTTTTCAACAAATGGTGCTGAGAAAACTGGACAGCCACATGCAAAAGAATGAAACTAGTCCATTCTCTCATACCACATACAAAAATTAACTCAAAATGGATAAAAAATGCAGATATAAGACCTAAAACCATAAAATACATAGATGAAAACATAGGCAAAACACTCCATAACATTGGCTTCAGAGATGTCTTTGTGTATTTGTCTCCAATGGCAAGGGAAACAAAAGAGAATATAAATAAACAGACTACAAGAACAGTAACAAAATTCAAAGGAAAGTATTGAGTATACCATAAAAGATAAAATTGTGAAAATGATCAAGAATAGTGAAATACAATAAGAATAATAAATGTAATCAGTGTTCAACAGAAAAGCATTTAATAACAAGGTAGAATAAGAGGCTATGATAAAAATCTTAGGATTTTTATTTTGTCTAACAGGACTTTCTCTTTAGTTTACTAAAGTCAGAAATAAAATTTAACTCACAAGCATCCCATCCTGCTCATAAAATCTATTACTCATTCAAATCCTTTTCTCATTCAAAATTTAAAAAATTGGAGCCTCGCTGGTGGTACAAGGGGTTAAGTCTCAACACTATCAAGCTTTCACCAGCCACTGCAACACGTATTTGAACCCTGGCAAGGGAGTTGACCCACATGGCATGACAGACTTCTCCTATCTCACCTGCTGCTCCCCTCAGCAGTATATTTCAGTAGATCTGCATGTTCCGCTCCCCAACTCTGTCTCTGGTGAATCCTCTCACACCCCCTGTACTTTTGGCCTACACCCCAGTTCTTGTAGGCATAAATAAAAAATAAATCTTAAAAAAAACAAAATTAAAAAGTTAGTATATTTTTAAAAAATTCCAACAGAAATTATATTTTTGACTAAAAGAGAGCTTTTATTAAAATTTATACTAACATTGTATTACAGACTTTTGAAACCACAGCTCAATATTGAAGAAAAAAATGGAATGTTGAATGTATTTTCACAGATAATTGAAATTGTGTGAGAATAGAGACCTAAGTCTATTTTAAAAAAATCTTCAGTTTTAACTGCTTTGCAGAGAATAAACATTCAACAAAGTTAAACTTACAACTTTTCATTTTGAAGTATTTTCATAAGCTGCAATAAACAATGTAGACAGGAGTACAAAAACAATGCAGACAGGAGTTCCTCAGAGAAAGAGGAACTTGAGATTTTTACTTTTAGAATTATTTAATTCTGTTGTTATGAATTTCAAGGGTACACAAAATAGAAACTAAGTGATTTCGATATGCCAAACTTATACAAAATAAAAATTGACTGAAATCAATTTTTTCTAAAACAATCCTTTCTTTCTGAAACTACCCAATATCAATGTGGTCACAAAATAATATCAAGAATTTTCACATTACAATATGGAATATATCAATTCACTAGTGGAACAAATTGCCCCATAAATTCTTGAAATATGGCATTTATTGAACTTTACTTACCTTCCCCAAATTCGTTCAAAATAACTGCAACTCTTTTACTATGTTGTTCTGTCAAAATATAGTTCAAAAGTGTTGTCTTCCCAGCGCCTATAAAATACATTTGTTTTAAATAATGAAATTTAAGGATTAATTTTAAAGGTAAAAAAACCCCACAAAGAATCCCATTATTTTTAAGAGTTTGCAAGTTATTTTATTATTTAACTATGCCATACAATGTGGAGAAAAAGATGAATATACCTTCTGAAAACCTTAAAAACACTTTATGTTAACAAGAAAATTTTATAAATATTTACAAATACTCCTGTAGATTGAATCAATAGCTTTCTTGAAATGCATATGACACAAAATATGCCTTCTACATGACTTAAAATACAATTACTAAAATTTCTATTAAATTACTGGTTTATGGCTTTCAAGGAATAAAGTACTCACGTATTTTATAAAATATGGACTATTTAAATACCTTTATATGAAGACAAATTTTGGGGGGGGGGCCAAGAATACATGGTTTACTTCCCCAAAATGTGTATTATCAAGACCTACCTTTTAACATCTATCATTAACCAGACACAAATTCAAACTGACTATATGGCTACTTTTTTAGTATGCTCAAAGCAATCTATAAAATTGATTAGCTATATCCACAAACAAACACACAAAAATGTATGTTGAAAGTATAAACAATGAACAGCATATTTGGTATTTAGAAAGATAAACTCAAAGCTACACCAACTTTATCCAGTAGGTGGCATATTAGACCTAATACATGTTCTCTCGAGTGGGAGAAAAACATGTCTGGTGAACCACACACATCTAAGTTCCCTGAGGAAAGTAAAAAACAAATCTTAATTGCACAGTAGTGTTGTTCAATTGTATGAATATATCATTTATTTGCCTATTTTTCTGTTGGTGGAGATTTGGATTGTTTTTAGTCTTTTGGTATTAAAACAGTGCTGATAAGAACTTTTACCTAGAGCTTGTATACATCTTCTGAACTACCTTTCCGTTTTCTAAGATACAACGAGGAGGGATTTGCTGAGTATTTGAATATATCTTCATTTATAGGTCATGTTACTTTAAAATTTATAGAAAGATAAAGGCTTTTTATTTAGAGCCGTTTAGGAAGTACCACATCACTAAAGTGTGAAGTATAAAATGGAAGGGATACACTTTAAGGAGGCAGAGCAGTGAGGAAATTCTTAAAATCAGTCCAAGAGTGGGACAGAGGCCATGAACTTGAGTGCTGCACAAGGTGGAAGACATGAAAACATGAAGAAGAGACTATATCAGCTAACTACTTGTGCTTAGTAATTAACAATATTATAAAGCAAAAGACTGTAAGACACAGTTCATTTATTCACACCTTTACTATAGACCATGTTTTATGCTGGGCCTTGTGGAAAATGCTCGACAGGGCAGTCTCTCTACCTTATTGAAGCGTAGAAAAATTAAGGGTGTGGGAGACCGTATGGGAATCCAAAGCAGTGATGTGGCAATTATGTTATAGGCTGATACATTCAATAGGACAAGGACAATTATGTTATGGAGTACCTATGAAGAACGACTGGCCAAAGAAGTAACACTAAGAAAAATATTCCAGGGACTAAACTACCTGGCACTTTTAAAAGTAAAATTAATTTTTTTTGAAGATTTATTTTTTTATTTACATTAGCTGGGGTAAAAGCAGAGTCACAGGAGGGTGAGAGGATTCACCAGAGACAGAGTGGGGAGCAGAACAGGCAGACTGATTGAAATACACTGCTGAGGGGAGCAGCGGGGGAGACAGGAAAGGTCTGCCGCGACATGTGGGAATCTTCCTGGCCCACTGGAAATCGAAACCGCGCTGCAGAAGCTGCAGACAGCTTCACAGCGCTGCGCTAAACCCGCTGCGCCACCAGAAGTAAAATTAGTTCGATTGGCTGGCCAACAGTTTAGCAGACTAGAAAGGTTGGCAAAAGCCCAGTGGTCTAGGGCCTTGTAATTCATGCTTAGGAATTTGAACTTTAATACAAAGGGATATCACTGAAGGGTGTGACACAATCAGATTGACATTGATAACGATCACTAAGGCTAAAATACAGAGTATATTAAAGGGCAGCATAGCTCAAGACTAGGAAGTTTTTATAGTATTCCAAGTGGATGGAATCACAGCAGGATTGGAGGGAATAGCAGCATGAAGATTTGGACATGTTCACTTTGAGATGTCTGTAAACTATCTGGGTACACAGGTAAAAGATATACAGAGGGAAGCTACAGAAAAATAAAGAAAAAGAAACAACCTTAAAAAATAGAAACCATATCATAGAAGTAGAAGGAAATATCAAGAGAAAATGTGATGGAAGACAAGAGAACTGTTTCAAGGAATAAAAAAATGGTCAAGGGTAAGCCGTGAAACTATCCCCTTTACTCATCAATAAGGCAAGGCTGCTGGCATTAGTTCTCACTCCTAAACTTCACTGAGTAAAATCAGAAAATCAGGGGGGCAAGTCTGAAATATACTGTTTGGGGCACCGAATTTGCTCAACTTCTCAGTAGCGCAGTTTTTGAAAACACGTGGAGAAATACCAAAAATAAATTCCATTATAAAAACAATGCTTTGTAAAAAATGGAAATAAACTTAGGGACTATCAAGTAAAGGAAGGGCAGGAAGAATACCAGTGATTTAACTAGTGTTATGTAAAAGGCCTTCAGGTGCACCAAGTTTGTATTTCTCTCTAGCAGCACCTAGAAATTACATCACTTTATTTACATTTCTTAACTTTCTCCATGCTTTTAAAAAGGCCATGTACTTATGCTAGCCCTTCTACTTAACTATAGGTTTTTAAAAAACTTCTCAAACTTTGCCAATAAAGTTCCTCCAAGGTAACTGCATAAACTGTTCTGCTGGGAATTGCACCATGTTTACAAACCTATGAATTCAAAAGTCCCCGTGCACTCCCGAACGTTCTCAGTTTGAGAGATCTAGTCATGGAGGGCAGAGACTTCTCACTCTTTCTCCTCGCGTGCTATACAAACAGATCTCCAAAAAAATGTTTGCAATAGGAACACTTTCCACGAATGGCTGGAGGAGATGGACTCGTGAGGAAAGGGGAATCTACTGAAAAATGCAGCTCATGTGTCGAGTATTTTAGACAGCACAATCCTTTCGTCGTAATAGACTTATAAGGTGTTTCCTGGCCCATTCAGGAGATGAGTAAACAAGCTCAGACAGGTGACCGAATCGCTATTATTTCAATTTCAAGCGAGGCAGATGAGCTTCAGAAAGATAATCGTTAGCGGCCACAAGGACAGGGGGCAGACAGGGGTGCCGGCTTCAAACCGCAAAGCCAGAACTCTTCAAAAATCGAGTCTAACTTTCCATCTCACTTGAGAACTGTGACTCTAAGGTAGAGGGGTCCGGCTATCACGAACCCCCGAGATGAGAAGCAACCCTTACCGAGAGCAAGTGACCCAGCCCCTACCTCAGGGACTTTTGCTCTCGGCCGGAAGGCCCCGATACCTAAAGAGCAGCGCCGTCAGCACCCAAAAATTCTAGGATACTAGAGTTCACGGCATTTTCTGACCGGGATGGTTAGTTACCTAAATACCCGGTGATAATTGTGACTGGGATCTTAGCGCCGGGGGCAGATTTTTCCTCCTCCTCTCTTAGCTTCGTCTCAATGGGGATCAGTTCGGGACAGTCCTCCTCCGCCTGCTCCTCTTCCTCACCCACAGCTCCAACAACCTGTAACATCCCGGCGGACACCAGGACCCTCCTTAGTTCAGGCGCTACGAGACCAGGACGCCAAACAGCAGCCGCGCACACCGAACACGCCACGCTAGACGCGTCCTGACGTCACCACGCTGCGACGCGGAGCTACTTTCTCGGGATCCCGCCCGGATTACCTGAGCTTCAGCGGAAGACCGCCTGGCGTCTTAGCCACGCCCCCAGGAACTGGGCCCGCCCCCGGGCGTGCTCTCTGACCCGAGAGGCGGGGCGGAGCGGTCCGCGCTGCCAGCCCCGCCCTCGAGCTGTCACTGTGCGACAGCTGCCTAAAGAGTTAATGGCTGCTGGGAGCGCTGAGGCCACGCTGGAATCTGGAGTGGGTGGCTTGAGCTTGAACTAAGCCATTCCCACAAGGCACAGACTTTATCAACTTGACATTTTTTCAGTATCAGGTTGTTTTTTTTTAATTCGTAGGGGAAAGATTGGGAGTCAAGAACACTAGAATATTTATTTAATTTTTTTACCGGGAAGAATAACCAGTGAAACGTTTTTTATAATTACATCTTATATACGAATCCAAACTTTTACACTTGGCATGCATTAATTTATTTTCCCTTGTCATTTATTTGGCCCTCGGGCAACCTGAGTTCATTTATTTTATTCTCTGGTTTGTGACATCATCTCTAACCCATGGGTAACCCTCCCTTATATTTTTATATATATTTGTAATGAATCCCTTTGACTCCTAATCCAAGAATATTACAAATAAGTTACACCTACCTGTGCCCCTCTCCTGTTCCCATCTTCCGCCCCGCTTGTAATCACCACTGTGAATTGATTACTGAGGGCTGATCATTCTTTCTTCTTTTAAAGGTCCTATAATACATATATTTACCCAGACAACATGTTGTTTAATTTTGCTTTGAACTTAATAAAAGAGTAGTATACAATAGCATCTCCTGGAGTTATCTATATATTTCAACTCAAATTTCCTATATTCTGCTATGTTTATTGTGTGTCAGCAATTTATGTATCCTTTTTCTGTCCATTGCAGGTTTTACTTTCATGAACTGACTGGGTGATTTTCAGCTTTGCATTACTGCCTGAACAAAAGTTGTTAGAGCCCTGAGCATCTTCTCTTACATATTTCTCAGGCACATTCTTGCATATTCCCTTACATAGCTCTGACTAAATTGTTGTACAAACATCTCTTATCTCTCACTAAGAGCAACCCATGCCCCATAAAACTGGCCTATGCAAGTTGACCAACAACCATTGCTGTAATAATATGTAGCCTCTGTCAAAACAAAAAGAATTTTACACAGTGCTCACAAGTTAAAGGGACCCCAAATGTCCATGACCTGATGAATAGAAAAACAAAATGTAATTACATACAACTTGTGAACAATTATCTTACAATAAATAAGAATAAATACTGATCACTTCTATGAGATGAAGCTTGAAAGCATTATGGTAAGTGAAAGAAGACATTCAAAAAAACAGCACTTATTGTATGATTCCACTTATATGGCATGTCCAGAACTGGCAAATCCATAGAGACATAAAATAGATTGGTTGCTACCAGGAATTTGTAAAATGAGGGGAGGGAACACTAATGGATACATACTGAATCTGTTGAAATGTTCTAAAATTAATTGTGATACTGGTAGCACAGCTCTGTGACTATACTAAAACACTGAATTCTATAAATAGATGTATTGTATGGCATATGACTTTACCCTAATAAAGCTACCAATAAAAAAATGTTAAAGGCTTATACTTGTGTGTCAAAATGTGGTGGTGCCACTTTCATTTTTGAAGAAGCATGACCTTCAGCAGTTCCAAGTCCTGGTCTTCTGAACAGAGTTAAGTTAGAACCTATTTGTGGTGACATCTTCTTCGAGCCATACTTGAGTAGAAATATATAGATTACAGCTTAATTTTTTTTCTTTTAACTGGTTTCCATAATACTCCTCAGCAAAATACCTAGTTATGATTTCTGTGGAATTCTTCCATTTTCTTTTCTGACTCTAGTAACTGGACAGAATTTAGCAGACATATGTTTGAAGCATGTTTTTGCGTCTATCATAACATAAAACTATCCATTCTATTTTGTGTGAGCATTGTTGATGTATTTAATCTAAAATACCTTTTAAATATGTAAAAATTTCAAGTATATTATTGACTCTATTGCAATTCCTAATGTAAATTTAAAATTCTTCACTTAATTTTGCAATTTTGTTTAGTTTCAATTGCTTTATATATTTTTTAAAAGATTTATTTATTTATGCATACAACAGCGGGGGTACAGGCCAGAGATGTGGGGTGGGGGTGAGAGGATTCACCAGAAACAGAGTGGGGAACAAACAGACAGCCTGACTGAAAAACACTGCTGAGGGGAGCAATGGGCAAGGCAGGAGAGGTCTGCTTCACCATGTGGATTGCTCCCTGGTGGGCTGGGGATCGAACTCGTGCTGCGGAGGCTCTGGATTGCTTCATAGTGCGATGCTTAACCCCTTGCGCCACCAGAGAGGCCCTTCAATTGCTTTATATTTAGAGAAAAGATAATAATAACAATAATGTGTTATGTACATTAAATGTATTTTCTAATCTAACTTAAGATAAGTACTTTTCATAGTGTTTGCCCATTTTATAGACAGAGGAAACTGAGGTTTAGAAAGGTTAACTTTCTCAAAAATCATAAAATCAGTAAATAGAAGGCCTAGGACTCAATCCAGATCTACCTGACACCAAAATCCTTGTTCTTCTAAACCAGGGAACTGAGATTTTTCTGAGAGTTCCAGGTATTAGATAGATTAAGTTTTACAAGACAACACACACATTTGAGGCTAAGATGTAGGTATTTATATAAGAGAAAACAAATTTGCAGAAAATTTGAACTTTTAATATAAAAAAGTCATGAAATATTTTCATGTCATGAAATATGACTTGTCTTTAAATATTTTTCAATCTATTAAAAAATATAAAAACCATTCTTAGCTTGTGGGATATACAAAAAGAGGAAGTCAGCATAGGTTGCATTTACTGTTCTGAACTAATGTGTACTATCTCATTACACTAAATTGAGTGAAGTTTCGCAAAAATAAATCATCCTTGTTATTTTAAACTTTAAAGTTTGTAAATCATGCACCATTACTACAACCCCGTGCCCTCAAAGGGTTAGTTCCCCCAATCACCACTGCACTAATAGTTAAGGAAAGTCTAAAGCTGAGAAACTTGAAACTCTTTCTCCATTGGCACTGATAACACAGGTGATACCACAAGGTGATACCACACCTTGGAAAGATTCAATTTAGGCAGCACTGCATCTTTGCTTTGTGTTAGAAGCCCTCCTGCGTGGAGCAGAACAGAGCAAATACATTCTCAAGTCACCTGGATTCCTGCAAGCCAGCTCTGTAGCAATGACTCTGCCACAAGTCTTAGGGCACAATTGCCTGCTCCTCCCCTTTGCCTTCTTTTTCTCCCTTTGAATAGTTATAGCAGTTGTCATGAGAAAAAGTTGGGATTATAGCCATATCCAAATTAGAGGAAAGTTAAAAATAAATGCAGACTTCATTTTTGTTTTTGTTTTTTTCTCTTTCAATTTTGCAATTTCCTCTAAAGGAAAGAACGCACTAGTCACTAGCAATGGCCATTGGTTTATAAAAAGGGAAGTAGAGGGTTTCAAAATTAACCCAATTCTCCTTATCTAGCTGCGGTTTGGTAAATACATAAAGGAAAAAAGCAAGTAGGTAGACAAAAACAAACTATTTAGATAAAACAAATAAAAGTAGATAAAACAAATAAAATATTTCTTAAATGCTACATAATAATTGATTTATTTAACATTTTTCATTATATGCACACTTACTTAGATGGGAACATCTCTGAAAGACCAGAGGTCAATGGATTTCATTCCATTTAGATAGACTATCAATATTCAAATATCATATAGTCCTCTATTAAAATACAAAACCATTGTAAGGACACGAAATAATATTTGTTCCCCCAGAATATTGAAGGTGGCTGGCAGGTGTCCATTTCTGTGTTTGGGGGTGAGTGTGACTTTATCTAAATATGTAATCTAATATTACTTGAATTCATTATCTCAGACTGTTAGACAGTGCTATTAATACGGCTTAGCTTACACTTGTAAATCAGTTCCAACAAAAGAAGAAAAACACTTGGATTGATCTACAGGTAGGCCAATTTGAGTTCTGCTCCTTTCCCTCTAAATTATACTCTCGGGCAAGAGTAGACATTGAGTAAAACTGAAAAAGTATGGCATGATTTATGCTGGAATAATTTAGGAGGCAGCCTAAATAATATCCTCTTCCATTATCATCAGAAATGTAAAAGTGACATTTGTGGCTTTAAGTTTCACTCACTTTTAGAGTTTTAGAGAAGCAGATGCCCAAATCCACAGGCAACTGCTCATGATTTCTCAAATGTAAATTTGAGAAAACACAGTAACGAAAATGAATTACCACGATCTTCTTTCTTCTGACTAGTATTTCAAATCCCTTCAAGGCGTTTTTACTTGCACTTAAGGGACATACTGTGAGATAGGCAAAACCAGGTCTTCCCGGTGTCAAGGTTTTTGGAGACATTAACTCTGTCTCTCAACTATCACCATTTCACTCCTGGAGAAAGATTTACAAACTTTCTTTAGATTATCTAACTTTCTGTCCCCAAGCTATTTTAATGTTTTGGTTTTTGCCCATGCGTCTCAGAGCATATTGCTCCAAATTCATGGCGCTGATATTTATTTTTTAGCGTAGAACTGGGGTCTAGACCAGAGGTGGGGGGGATGGTGAGAGGATTCACCATGGAGAGATTGGGGAGCAGAACAGACAGATTTACTAAAATACACTGTTAAGGGGAGCAGCTGGCAAGACAGGAGAGGTCTGCTGAGCCATATGTGGGTTAGCCCCCTGGTTGGGGATTGAACTCAGGCCATGGAGATGATAGCACTGAGACTCAACCCCTAGGCTACCAGGGAGGCCAGCAGCAGATATTTTTAAGTCATCCAGCCACTTCCTTACCTCCTTTTCAGGCACATTTTGTTTTTTTACGGAACTTTCTTCACATCAACATCCTTCAGCACACTTACTCCTTCCAA